AATAGAGAAAAATGTTAAAAATATGAAAATATGAGGTATCGACCCCCGTACCTCTTGCATGCTAAGCAAGCATTCTACCATCTGAACTACATCCCCGAGATGTTTTATGATTGTTACTGAATGGTAATTTTTTATGGGATTATAGCTGATAAGGGCAACTTTTGGGCCCTAATATCAATAAAAATAATCCATTTAATATAATTTCTAAAATAGGTTAACTTTTTAAAAAATATTTCAAATAAGGTCAAAAACATTGTTTATCTTCTTCCTCCTCCAAACCACTTCCACCTAGCCCAGCCCTGCGAACCTCAATGACCACCATCCACCAGCGCTGCCTCCCTCTGCCTACCGCTGCCCACCTCATGAAAGTCATAGGAACCCAAGAGAGCCCCCTGAGTTGAACCTACCCATCCTTGTCTTCCAGCACCGAAATTTCTTTTACTTTGGGTTCTAAGAGATCATGGCACCTGTCCATATAGACTTCGTAGTAGGAAATCTCTATTGAACATCCTGTCCGCTCGCAAAGAGATAAGACTTTTGACATTGCGAGTGGCATGAGACCAGACAGCTTATCAGTTTATGTATTCACCAAAACAACATCAATGCATGGAAACCAAATAAACTAAAATTCTGGGTAACACTAAGACTGCAATAAGAAGATCCCTGCTTGTAGCTCCATAAGCAAAAATAGTAGCATTGCGACCATCAAAGATCCCTGGAATCAAAGGACTAACCTCTTTCTGAAATATTTGACTCACATTGTCTTTCTCCTGACTGTAGAACGAATCTAACTTGTAACATTCGTTCCCACTGCAATAAAAAAAAAAAAAACACTCACCCACTAACCATGGGCATTCTTTTATTATTTTTTTCTTGCAAGATAATGTTGAAGATCGTCCTTACCTGGTCTCATAGTCTTTGAGATAAAAAGAGACTTCTTGGCTAGATCTGTTCTCTGGATTGACAACGGAGACACATGATATGGGATTTCCTCCCTTGGATTCAATTTCAGAAAGGAGATATGGACGCACCCTTACAAACACCCTGACTTTGGTCAACAAATTGGAATGTAAGTATTTTGAAGATACCTCAAATCTAGTCATCTTGGGGGTGTTTAATGTTTCTATTTGCGTTGCCATAAGATTAGAAACTTGTAAGATTGAGAATTTCGAATTGCAAGAAGAATAGGCTAGAGAAGGGTGAGAGAATTTGATTTTGAAAGTTTTGACCGTTAAGAGGCCATCACATATGATTTGAACCCTTTCTGTTTTGAATTTAATCCGCAGCGAGGCGTTGCCGGAGGTGGGCGGAGGCATTATCGAAGGCGGCAAAGGCGTTGATGATGGTGATCATTGAGGTTCATGGGGCTGAGACGGAAGTGGTTTGGAAGAGGAAGAAGATGAACAGTGTTTTTGCCCTTATCTGATATATTTTTAAAAAAGTTTACCTGATGAAGGAAGATTTGGCCCGACCTCACAATCACTTCACATGGCAAAATCAAACAGCTCGGGACAAACAGCGCGCCCAAGACGGGCGTCAAAGGAACCAGCAGTCCGAGCTCCCTAATAGGAGACCCGAGCTCCTTACAAAGAGCTCGAGCCTCACAAGGCAGTGACCCGAACTGGCCCACCTCATGGCAGTTCGGGACACTCCCCTATGCGAACTCAAGACCACCTCGCCCCGCCACTCCAGCACTTCGCCTCCCAAACGCCAGGCTGACTAAACGTAACGCACCTGACACCGAGGGTGTCCGTATCCCAAGGGCAGCGCACCTGATTGATTTGGGATCTGACGCTTGACAGTCGTACTTCAAACAGCCTCCTGCCACCATTGTCACCAGTCGCAGAGACGGCTCCAACAAAGGGAGCAGTGGCGGTTCTGCCTAGCCAGAGGGGATGACATCCGGACTGGCAGGAGCTCATAAATAATCATGTCCGATCTGACAGAGCTTGGGAGTGAGTGCGCGAGGTGGTTATAAAGGGCTCCCAACCCCCCAAGAACAAGGTATGCAAAACTCTGCGCTATCTGGTTTCATCTTGCCTTCGAAGGATTCTAACTTGAGCTTCGGAGCCTCCACACCGGGTCTCCCCCGGAACTTCCTCATCCTTTCCGTTTCAAGTTCCCCACAGCTCCATTCAGAGGCAAGGTCATTGACCGCTAGGACCAGCCGGATTGCGCACCATCATAACCTATTTTAGAAATTATATTAAAATTATTATTTTTATTGATATTAAGGCCTAAAAGTTGCCCTTATCAGCTATAATCCCTTTTTTATTTGGAAAAGAAAGGGTAAATTCGGTAATATAAAAGAGAGTATGCAATTTATCCAATAGAGGAAAATGTTAAAAAAATGGAAATACTGGGTATCGATCCCGTACCTTTCACATACTAAACAAGCACTCTACCATTTGAGCTACATCCCCAAGATGTTTTATAATTGTTAGTGAATGGTAATTTTTTTATTTGGAAAATAAAGGGTAAATTCAATAATATAAAAGAGATTTATGCAATTTATCTAATAGAGGTATCAATCCGTACCAGCGCTCTACCATCTGAGCTACACCCCAAGATGTCTTATGATTGTTATTGAATGGTAATTTTTTATTTTGAAAGCAAATGGTAAATTCGATAATATAAAAGAGAGTATGCAATTTATCCAATAGAGGAAAATGTTAAAAAGATAGAGATGCAAGGTATTGATCCTCGTACTTCTCGCATGCTAAGTGAACACTCTACCATCTAAGCTACATCCCCAAGATGTTTTATAATTGTTACTAAATGATAATTTTTTTTTATTTAGAAAAAAGGGTAAATTTGGTAATATAAAAGAGAGTATGCAATTTATCCAATAGATGAAAATGTTAAAAAGATGGAGATGCAGGGTATCAATCCCCGTACCTCTCGCATGCTAAGCAAGCTCTCTACCATTTGAGCTACATTCCCAAGATGTTTTATAATTGTTACTAAATGATAATTTTTTTTATTTAGAAAAAAGGGTAAATTTGGTAATATAAAAGAGAGTATGCAATTTATCCAATAAAGGAAAATGTTAAAAAGATAGAGATGTGGGGTATTGATCCTCATACCTCTCGCATGCTAAGCAAGCGCTTTACCATCTGAGCTACATCCCCGAAATGTTTTATGATTGTTACTAAATCGTAATTGTTTTTATTTGGAAAATAAAGGGTAAATTAGGTAATATAAAAGAAAGTACGCAATTTGTCCAATAGAAGAAAATGTTTAAAAGATGGAGATGCATGTTATCAACCCCTGTACCTCTTGCATGCTAAGCGAGCGCTCTACCATTTGAGCTACATCCCCGAGATGTTTTATGATTGTTACTGAATGGTAATTTTTTTATTTGGAAAAGAAAGGGTAAATTTGGTAATATAAAAGAGAGTATGCAATTTACCCAATAGAGGAAAATGTTAAAAAAATGGAAATGCGAGGTATCGATCCCCGTACCTCTTGCATGCTAAGTGAGCGCTCTACCATCTGAGCTACATCCCTTAGATATTTTTATGATTGTTACTGAATGGTAATTTTTTTATTTGGAAAAGGGGTAAATTTGGTAATATAAAAGAGGTTATGCAATTTATCCAAGAGAGGAAAATGTTAAAAAAATGAAGATGCGGGGTATCGATCCCCATACCTCTCACATGCCAAGTGAGCGCTCTACCATTTAAGCTACATGCCCAAAATATTTTATGACAATTAATGAATGATAATTTTTTTATTTGGAAAAGAAAGGGTAAATTTATCAATAGAGAAAAATGTTAAAAAGATGGAGATACAAGGTATCGATCCCCGTACCTCTCTCATGCTAAGCAAACGCTCTACCATCTGAACTACATCCCTAAAATGTTTTATGATTGTTACTGAATCATAATTGTTTTTATTTGTAAAAGAAAGGGTAAATTAGGTAATATAAAAGAGAGTATGCAATTTATCCAATAGAATAAAATGTTAAAAAGATGGAAATGTGAGGTATCGATCCCCATACCTCTCGCATCCTAAGCGAACACTCTACTATATGAGCTACATCCCCGAGATGTTTTATGATTGTTACTAAATGGTATTTTTTTTTTTTTAGAAAAAAGGGTAAATTTGGTAATATAAAAGAGATTATGCAATTTATCCAATAGACGAAAATGTTAAAAAGATGGAAATGCAAGGTATCAATTAGGGTTGTTACGGGTCAGGTTGGGTCAATTTATTGAGATTTTTCCAATCGACCCGACCTGGTCGTGTTACCTAAAATTTAAACCGAAACTAACCCTGTATTAAGCAAAACTGACCTGGTCGGTTTGAGTCGGGTTGGGTCGATTTGGGTTGGTTTCGGCTCTAAGTTCAACCATGCTTGAGAGTCAAATTGTATTAGAGATTGTGCTTTAGTTGAGGCGAACCAAGTTAGAATAGAAGTTATCAAGAAAATAGAAAGTCAAACTGTATTAGAGAAAGAAGACTTAAATTTGTATATTTCAAGAAACATTCTAATCTAAGTAAAAAATGACACCTAATTATAATTGTAATTGGCTGACTATTTGGTGTAAAAGACCATAGAAACTAGGATCCTTTGATTCTTTTCTTTAAACTTTTCTAAAAAATTTCCTTGTCTAGTTGTCTTACAATATTTGCCATTAATGTCATTCATAACTAGAAAACTAGAAATTAAGTTAATTTGTAACTAGGATAGAGACAACTTAGTTAATTAAGAACTAAATAGGTTGTAACTATTAACTATTAAGTCCGTCCGGTTCGGAGATGCGAGGTAATAAGTGAGCGCGGAGCGACATCCCCAAGATATTTTATAATATTCATTTATTGTTATTCCTTTTTTTGTACGATGATTGTGTATCATTCAAGATGAAATTTGGACCAATCAGAACCCCGTGAACTTCTATTATACCGATTGATTGGTCAGTAGTTTCTTAGGTATCATGCCTTTTCGGTATCATAGGTGGACGATTATCCACCAAAAATCCCAGACGCTTCAAAACGCCCGCGAAGCCCAGAGGCCGTTGAGTTGAGCAAAAGCTTCCGGATAAGAGAGAGAGAGAGAGAGAGAGGGGACCGTACAGCAATGGCGACTCTGCAATTCACCGATTATTCCAACCCAATTATCTTGCAGAGATCCTCGCTGAACGCTCTGTTTATAAGGAACCGCCACCACCGAAACTCTCAAGCTCGGTTCGTCACTAGAGCTTCTCTTCACCAACCTTCTATGAATCGTAGGCAGTTCATAGCCGAAACAGCAGCAGTTTCTTTATCTCTTGCACCTCTTAGCGGCTTCGTAGAACCCGCGAAATCCGAAGAAGCTCTTTCCGAGTGGGAGAGAGTTTACCTCCCGATTGATCCTGGGGTTGTCCTTCTCGATATTGCTTTCGTGCCTGATCAATTGAATCACGGTTAGTTGGATTTTGGGGTTTTAGGTTTGCTCTTTTGTTCCCTTAACCTGATTTTATAATTTATGAGGAGTTTAAACTTTGGATTCGTATTTGATTATCGCTTTCTATGTGCATAGAATATGATTTGAATAGCCCAAAATAACAAAACAAAAAATGAGTTGAATAACAGTCGGTTCCATTCTTGGTGTTTTTAATGTGTATCTTTTCTGCTATTTCTCTGGGATTCTATTTTCAGTCTCCTAGTTTTTTCTTTTTTGCAAAGTGCATTATGAAGTTTTTTTTTTTTTTTTTTTGGTGTGTGTGAAAGGTGAATATAGTATTTGCATCACTGTATATAGGACAGTGGAGAACTCTGCCAAAAAAATCTATACAAAAAAGGTCCACTGTAAAATGATCTTTACAACTATGGAGCAGCAATTACAAAATCATTATCCACAATCATCTGGTGCCAGTGATTATGCAAGTGGGAGAAATAAAATGCTTGAAACTCCTTGTATGCCTTAGACCAAAAAGCTATAAGCCTTTCCATACGTCCAATTAATCCCTCCTTATCTCTGGCTTCTCCCTGAAATAACCTGCTATTTCTTTCTTGCCAGATCCCCCAACATACTACAAAGGGTATCAGTTTCCATAATATCACTCCTTTTTTGCGTAATCCACCAGAAGACCAGGCTGCTATAAGAATGCTCAGGTCCCTTGGAAACACCCACAGGATTTCAAATAGTTGAATAAACTGCACCCAGATGCTATGGGAGACTGCAAATGAATTAATAGATGTGGGTGCCACCACCCAGACGCTACAAGAGTGCTCTTAGTTTGTTCATTCTTCATCATTGCATAGGCAGCATTGAGTGGGTGCCACCATGGCACCATTCCTTTAGATATCAAGTGATTAGTAGTGATAATCCTGTCTAGAATGGCTGTCCATGGGAAAAAATCACCTTTAAGGGTTCTCTATTTCCACTTGTGAGAATCCTGAGGAAAAGAATTTTGTTTCTACCGAGTGGAAACAATATGTCAATGGCTCTAGTAAACCAAAGTCATCGTTTAATAGCTATTTGGCTTCAATCTCCCCTCTACAAACCAAAAATTGAAGATTTAGTTACGATTAGAAATAWACTTTTRTATMTTTATCCATGGATCCTTTATTCATACTCATTCAATTGGAAATGTTGATCCAACTCAAAAAAGAAATTATGCTTCGCAATTTCATAATCCAACTTTTTCAATTTCTAATTAACCCTTGGATATGCAAATCATGAGAATGTATATTCTTCCTCAAATCTGTCATTGAGWGGTAAAGGATTTAATCCTTTATATGAAATAAAGTTCTTGATCAGAATATGAATCAAACCGAAGGATCCCTTAATTATTTAAGTTGTTAATAGAACGAATCACACTTTTACTACTAAACTATACCCGCTACAATGTACAATGTGATTATTGTATATGAATGGACCCTTTGTCAAACAGAACAAGGGAATGAGAYGTAATCAACATAGGATCAGAACAGAATCATGAAAATTGGAGCATTGATGTGTTTTGCGTGGGGGGGGGGGGGCTGAGATAGGAAAAGAAGGCTTATTTAAATAACATAACAAGTTCTATTTTTTCTTTTTCTGTAGGAGTTATTTATTGATGAGCACGGCCAAAAGAACCGTTGAAGTCCAAACATAAAAATGAATTGTGTAATGCAAGAATCCATAGCTCCATTTTTTATTTTTTCAACCAAAGAAAATATTTTCTCACAAAAGAGAGAAAATTTGAATCTTATCTTTGTTTGAAGCCACTTCCTTTTCTATTGATTCAATTGCCGGATTCAGGTCAATTGAATCTAGTAAAAGAGAAAATCATAGTATCTTTTTTTGTGAATCAAGTGTTCAAATAAAGCTTGTTAGATTATTAATATAATAAAATAAATATGATATGGAGCCTCTTTCTTCTTTTCAATAACCAATAAATAAATCAAGAAAAGAAAAGAAGTAAGAAAAGGAAAAGAAAGAATAATAAGAAATGACACTGCTGCTATATTATATATAGCATAGGTGGCACTGTACTCTGGTCCCATAGGAGTGGGAGACTCTATGAGAGCTGAAATTTTTGCTCTACTACAAGGCCTAAGATTTGCGAAGCAATGGGAATTTCAGAACTTGGAGGTGGAAGGGGACTCTAAATTTTTAATAGGGTGGCTGCAAACTAAGAAGTTGGGTGTATGGAAGTTTAGACAGCAAATAAGGGAAATAATCTGCTTGGCAAGGGAAGTTGGAGTAACATTTAAATGGGTAAGGAGATCAGCAAACTCTGTGGCAGATAGCTTGGCAAAACAGGGGACCATCAGGGAAAACTTCTTTTGGGCTGTACTGTAATTCTTGATGTCATTTTGGGGTCAACACTCTTTGTTTGAGTGGTTGACAGTGCAAGATGTAATTTGATATCCTTAATGAAAGTCACCGTTTCCAATAAAAAAAAATATTATGTATAGCATAGAAATGGAAACAACCCCTGTTCCCATTGTTCTTGTTTCAATTACAAGTATTTTTTTTTATCAAATCAGAAAAATCATTTGATTTATGATTCTCTCTCTCTCTCTCTCTCTCTCTCTCTCTATATATATATATATATATACATATATTATATGCATAGGTACATGCAGTAGACTCATAGCGTCTAGTGGCTCATTCAAGAATGGAATCAAATGAGCCATTTTAACTCAGTGGTAGAGTAACACCATGTTAAGGCGTAAGTCATCAATTCAAATCCAATAAGGGGCTTTTTTCAAAAGACTCCAGTCTTAGTCTTCTTTTTTTTTTTGAGCGGAGAATAGAGATTTTATATTTGTAATAAAAAAAGTAACTGCCTGTATACTGCATGATAAATTATCATTATAATGAGTTATAGTATACTGTAGTAGTAGTATAGTTCTAAGAATATTTGTTCATTATAATGATAAGTCATCCCACTTTTTGGAGTTGGAGGACGACTATGTTACTATAGGCCATACTCCTACTCATGTTTCATTATTCAATATTTTTGGCCCCAGAACATATATTCTATCTACCCAATCCCAATTATGAATCACCAAATATTCCTGTTTTTTTTATTCCAATCAAATCCATTGTAAAGATTAGAAATAAAAAAAAAAAAAAATCAACAAAAGAAAAGTAAGTGGACCTGACCCATTGAATCATGAGCTATTCTGATATTAAAATTCAATAAAGATGAAATTGTAGCTGCAGACCTTTTTTTTTTATTGAATTTCCTTGGACTACRAAAGAATTTGTCGATATTTCCGATTGAATCTTCTTGTTCCTAGATGTTCTGAAGGAATAAATCGTTATTCCGTTCCTCCACAGATAAATGTTTATTCCGAGTCACAACGCAAGAGCTGTCTTTTTTTTAATATCTTTTCTTTCTTTTATTCCAGAAAAAATCAGTTCTGGATATATATATATATATATATATATATATATATCAGGTCGTGGCTTCATGTACTAAATATTTCTATATCGATGCATCCATTTGTTCCAACAATGTGATTGAGAACAGATGCAAGAAAGATACATACATTTCCAGTTTCCTATTATTTCATTTTAATATTGAATTTAGGAACAGGGACAAAAAAATAGGGAATTTACTTTTTTCTGACAGAAAAGAAAAAGTTTAAATGGGGAAATATTCAAAGTGTCTTTTTTCTTTTGATTCGACCCATGAAAAGATAATATACTATGGAATTTTAGATTCATCTGAAGGAAAAGGAAATAGAACAAAGAAAATAATAAAAAACAATATATCAATTAATTATAAAAATTAATTATTAAATTATATATAGGATACTGTAGTTTAGTATACATAGAAATTAGGAAARTTCATAGAGATATTTATTGACCTTTTCTCAATATCACTAACAAGATCCTAGAATAAAATTAGTTGATGGAACGGGAGGGGGTAGATCTAGAGAGTAACTGGTGCCGAGAGAAGGAATCACTTGTTCCTTGAACCGTTCTTTCAAAAAATCCATCTGATTGATGAGTCATAAGACAATTCAGGGTTCAGATGGTTATGTTGGGTAATGCTTGGAGTGGTAACTGGCAACCCTTACTCTCGCTCTCGAAACAGGTTTATGCTTTTCGACGTATACGCTGTACCCCCTCGATAAGACGCCAAGCACGTTTAGGCATTCCTCACGGGGGTGCTGGATTTCCATATCCATCTCCAAGCCACCTTGTCTTCAGCAGACTTCAAGAAATGCTTATAGAATGAATAAACTAAGAGGAGTCCTGATTTTTCTGCAGCCTATACTATCTGATCATTGTTGGTCCAAACAGAGGTGACCTTTATTAATTGATTCCATAAAAGACAACATTTCTTGCATCTCCGAATCAAGTATATTTCTCCTCAATTTGGGTGTCCACACAACCAGCTGGAAACAGACCTTGACTAGAACATCTTCCTGCTCTGCCTTGATAAAAATCCTAGGATAAGATTGACACAAGGGAGTAGAGCTACACCATGTCATTCCAGAATAGTAGAACCCTATCCCCCTTTCCATGCTTGAATTTAATGAATTTTGAGAAATTCTTCTTGCATTTTCATAATGCCTTTCTATATGCTAGATCCATAAGATTGATGAGGCTGAAGGGAATACCAATCCAGATTAGTACCACCATACTTCACATGGATCAGTTTTCTCCACGGCATATCTTTCTCAGTGCTGTACCTCCAAATCCACTTGCCTAATAAAGCTTTATTCATATGCTTTAGAGGCCTGATGCCAATACCACCCCTTTCCTTGGGTATGCGGAGTTGCAGACCTGGTTCCATGCTATAAATGGAACTTTTTTGAATCACTTGGGCTATCCCACAGGAATCTCTCCTCATTTTCCAGTTGGTTTATGACTGAGGCTGGGGCTGTGAACAAAGATAGGTAGATTTTCCAACCTACCAACTTCCTTTTTTTTATTGTGGCCTTTTCAGCTTAATTTCTTTTCTTTTTCTTCTTTTGCTTGTTGCTTCCTTTTTGGAGTTTAAATTGGACGGTTCCACTCGACCATTTTATTATTCTGATTTCTTATCTCTAAATATAAATATACCATTTTCGTTTATTTCTTTATTTTGACTTCACTAATGATTGGAACAAAGAGAATTCTTTTTCTTTTTTGGTAAAGAAAAGAGAATTCAATTCTTATAATCTCAAGTCTTCATGATACTTTCATCATTTCTACTTCATTAGTGATTTGTTTCTGAAGGTTGTCCGATACCATCATCTCCACCTTCTTGGCCACACTTTTTCAACTCAAAAAACAAAGCCTTATCCCAACTATATGGTATCAGCTACATAAGTCATGTTTCGCTGTTCCACTATACCAAGAGTCATATGCTCTGTCAAGTTTTGAGCTCTCATATCACTTGCCACTATCTCAATTTTTGCCTTCTTGTATATCTTCTAAAAAACCATCAAGTTGTATCAATAGCTTTGTCCTTCCCATGAATATACTCAGCATAATCTTATCCTTTCTAGTATTGCAACACTCTGTATGCTTTAAATGATTCCAATTTCCATTTCCATTCTTAATGATTCAAAGACAATCTAATACTATTCCTTTGGGACTTATTTTGTTAAATTATGCAGTCTGATTTTGGTTTCCAGGATTTATGGTGATATCAGCTTTAATTCTTATTAGAGAAAAGTCCTATCTTCTATAAGTTCAGTGTTTAATTCTGTAACATTTGATGGATGGATGGTTTGATGTTTAGGCTTTCTTTTGGGGACAAGGCAAACTATTTTGGAGACAAAAGATGGGGGAAACACTTGGGTTCCACGTTCAATACCATCTGCAGAAGATGAGGACTTCAACTACAGATTTAATTCTATTAGCTTCAGAGCGAAGGAAGGATGGATTGTTGGAAAACCTGCAATCTTGTTGTACACATCAGATGCTGGTGAAAGCTGGGAAAGGATACCACTAAGTGCTCAACTTCCTGGTGATATAGTAAGCTTCTCCTATTGGAATCTTTACAAGCTTTTGTTTTTCTTTATTGTTTTGTAAGTTGGTAAATGGTGATGGGATGGCTACAAAGCAGGGAGGCAAGGCCGCAAGGATGTGGACTTACAAAAATGTAATAAAAAAAGATATGGAAGTGAGATTTTGATGGGTAAAAAGGACTGCTAATAATGTGGCTGATACATCAACTAAACAAGGGGTGGGAAGATATAAATCTTTTGGGCACAATTGTAAGAAAAAAGATAGGGGAGAGATAATAGATGAGTAATATCACACCAATCATATACGTATTGTTGAAGTAGACTATTACTAGGGATGTATTGGAGCTGAGCGAGCCAAATAGATTATTCGAGCTTGGCTCGCCAAAAAATTTAGCTCAAATTCAGCTCGATTCGAGCTTGATTGTGAGCAAACTTCCTATAAAAATAAAAAATTATACATATAAAAAATATTTTTTATTTTGTATATAAAAAATTAAGAATTATAACAACTAATTATTATACATATAATATTATTATATATAATATTTTATTTTTTATTTAGATATATTATTTTATATATAACATTTTTTATATCCTCACGAGCTAAGCTTTATTGGACTCAAGCTCGGCTAGAAGCTTGGTTTAGACTGAGAAGAATTGAGCTTTTCACGAGCTGAGCTTGAATAGCTTGTGAAAAGCTCAATTCATGTCCACCCCTAACTATTACTGACCTGACAATATCCTTAGACAACTCTAGATAATTGAGATTACATCACCATCATCAGAAATACAATACCTGTGCATTCAGCATCATCAAGTTGCATAAGAAGTGATTGCCTATTGCCTATCACAAAAGGACTAAACTGAATCTTCTTCTGCTATCAAAATTCACTATTGCAGATTCACCATCGATGACACCTTCTTTGTATAATGATAAATAAGGGGCTTACTGCACCTTCTCCATCACAGTCGCAGAGAAACAGGAAGACATAAAAGAGGGGGGGAGTGGAGTAATGTGTGATCAGAACCCCAATAAATTTAGATCATTCCTCACAAGGTTCTAAGATCTGTAAAGTATAGATAGGAGGAAATCTAATAATGTCCTATCAGAACCTTAGCTCTGATACCAAGAAAACAGCTAGGATTATGACTGAGAGAAAGAGAGGAGAAATTGTAGGTGAAAAAGAAGGCCATGTGAGGAGGAAACTAAACTCTTCCACTCTGGCAGTCTTACATTTATTAAAATGCTGGGATATCTAGGATCAATTACATAAAAACTGATAACTTATTGTAAAGACTCTTACCTAATGTTGGTCCAAGCTATCGGGGGTCTTGGGAGGGGTGGACTGGATACAGTCCTAACCTTGGCATTTTTTTCACAAAGTGGCCACTCTCAGACTCGAACCTGTGTTCTCACACTTGACAGATCGAGATGTTATCATTAAGCCAAGTAATAGCCCCTTGATAACTTATTGTAATAGTAAATTACATATATACCCATTGCTTATTCTAACAGTAAATTATACAAATACTGTGCTTTTGCTTTTTGAGTTAGGAAGGCTTTTGTGCTTTTGCTTTGTCTATCTGAGTGTTTGTTGCTTGGTTCTTTTTTCAGTTGTGTGTGAGTTGGTTGTTGTTGGTCCAGTAGATATTCCAACAAAAGCTAATATAATTGAAAAAAAGGGCAGCAATGTAGGACGGCTATGACCTAAATGTGAGTCTAGGAAGGTATTGATTCACTAGAATAGGCTTTAGGGATAATTTAAGAACTAAAGGCAGGATTGGTTTGGGTTGGAAAGGTTCGAATTGTTGAGACCAGCATTTAATATAATTTTTGTCTGTACTAGATGCCAGCAGCTTAAAGCTGACAACCACTAGAGGTGAGATTGAACTTGATGCAAATCCCTCCCAGGAATAGGAAGTCTCCAATCAAAGCACTGTTGTTTATACCTTCCCAGCTAGCATGTCAGCTAGGCTACTTGCAGCCTGAGGTACCCACATGAATGAGTGGTTCATGATAGATACAATGCTAATCTCATTGTATTTATGCCATAGGTTTTCTATTTTCAAAAAAAAAAAATTCAAATGGTTGATAAAGTTTTGAGAAATGTTGACGTTGGGCCAATGCTTGTCCAAGTATAATACAGATATGAAAAGAAAACTATGTTCTCAGTTTCTTCAGGTAATAAAACAAATTGGCAATTATGCCCTTAAGTTATAAACTAAAAACACAACAATACCCCTACTTAAACAAGACCCAACAGGAACAAACAGACAATATGGCCAGCCAGCCCAATACTCTCAACAATTATTATCAACAAAAGTGTTCCAACCTTGACAACTGGGGTGAACTTTGACTATTCACTTTGTTGTTACCAAGTATTTGGGGGATGTATATTTAATACATGGTAAGATGCACATATAAAAAGGGCATTACCCAATGTTGGTCCTGGCTATGTGGGATCTTGGGAGGGGTGGACAGGATACAGTCTTAACCTTTGGCACATTTTTGCCCAAAGTGGCTGCTCTCAGACTCAAATCTCCATTTGGCGCTTGCCAGTCCTAGATTTTACCATTACACCAAGCAATGGTCCCTATTAAGATGCACATATGCCAATTTAAAATTTAACAGTAGATACAATAATGTTCACTGAATTATTTAAGGTGTGTTGGGCTTTAATAAATTTTGTCTACATCCCAAATAATTTTGAAGCAGCATGATGGAGTAAATTTATGGCACAAGTATTAAATGGTAAGCAGAAAAGATTGTGTAGATGAAAAAGAGAGACAATAAAACAGTAAAGACATGAAAATATGAAGAAAGACAAAATGGGCACCTTAGTTAATGCTACTTAAGTTATCTATGGATCCCATGTGATCAACACTCTTCATTGTTTTTCTAGTATATCTCTGTTATATCCATGAAATCTCATTGCAAGAAGCTGTTCATTTCAACTCTCTGTCTCTTCTTTTTATGTGTAGTCTTGACATCATCATTCTTCTCTGACATTAATAGGTCTACATAAAAGCAACTGGAGAAAATAGTGCAGAGATGGTTACTGATCAAGGAGCAATTTATGTTACATCAAATAGAGGGTACAATTGGAGAGCAGCTGTTCAAGAGACTGTTTCAGCTACTCTTAATAGGTGAATTTTTTTAAATATCATTTTTAGTTTGAATAAGAAAATATAATAAATTCTGTGAAGTTTTATTCTGGTAAATTGGTATATTTCAACCTGTTTGATTTTGTTGGAGCATTTATTCAATTGGGTAGTTGGGTGAGGTGAGTGCTGCCAAAGTATATGAATTCCAGATATGCCAGAAGTTTAATTTGATTACCTGGCTCATGGTTAAATTAATAGTAACCATACAAGGAAAGTTGTTGGCAAGCAGGATCAATGTCCATTCTTTGTGGCACCCCTTGATGGAAGGTTTTATCAAACTCAACTTTGATGGGAGCAGTGAAGGAAATCCAGGGCCATCAGGGGTTGGTGGTGTTTTCAGATCGGAGGCAAGTTCAGTAATAGCTCCTTTTTTGGGACCAATTGGAGTTGGGGATTCACTGAGAGCAGAAATTCTGGCTCTGTTGGAGGGAGTGAAAAGGGCTAAGGAGCTGAGTATAAATAGGTTGATTATTGAAGGAGATTTGCAAGTGGTGATTGGCTGGATAGAGAAGACAAATGATGGGTTATGGACATACATTAATGAATGAAGGCAATTCAAGTGGTTAACTCAAGGAATGGATGTGCGTGCCCAGTGGGTTAAAAGATGTGTCAATTCATTTGCAAATGCTTTGGCTAAACAGGGGGTGGGAAGAAGTCATTTGTTTTAGATGTGAATCTGTCCTCCAAATCTGATATAAAACTGATAAAAAATAAGAAAAGTGAGAGAGAAAAGAAGGTTACGGCAGAATAGAAGAAGATGGAAAAGAAGAAGAGAAAGGAGAAGAGTGTTCGATGGGTTTCTCTCTCCCTTCACTAATCTTTTATTAATCTTAATAAATTATGCTAATTACAAGTTTGCCCTTTAAGTGAGCAACCAGAAAAGCAAGAACTTAAAAGAAATTAAAAAGAGATTAACAGGCCCATTAATTCATAAAACAGATAGAACACTATTTAAACATAAAACAAATATTAGGGCCCATTCGGCCCAGTCTCTCTACACTCCCCCTCAAGTTGAGCATAAATGTCAATCATGCCCAGCTTGCTTATATAGTGTGTCAGCTTTCCTTTTGGAACACCTTTGGTCAAAACATCAGCCAACTACTCTTCTGAAGCAATAAATGGCAAGCAAACTTCCCCTGGAGCAACTTTCTCTCTTATGAAATGTCTATCAACCTCTATGTGCTTAGTTCTGTCATGCTGAATAGGATTGTGTTCAATGTTGATAGCTGCCTGGTTGTCACAGTAGAGCATCATTGGCTTTTTATAGTCAATAACCCAACTCTCCCAAAAGTGATCTCAACCACAATAATTTTGACACTCCATGTGCCACTGCCCTGCACTCTACTTCGACTGAGGACCTGGCAACTACAGATTGTTTCTTACTTCTCCATGAGACAATGTTCCTTTCCACCAAAGCGCAATATCCTGAGGTGGATCTCCTATCATCAATACATCCGGCTCAGTCAACATCAATGTATGCCTCTAGCTTCATGTGTTCATGCTTGGCAAACAGAATACCTTTCCCTGGAGTGCCATCAAATAGCATAGAACTCTTTCTGCAGCTGCTAAATGTGTATTTCTGGGAGAATGCATAAACTAACTAATAGCACTTACTGCATAGGAAATATCTAGCTGAGTCATGTAGAGATATAACTTCCCAAGCAGTTTCTGGAACGCTCCCCTATCAGTCAATAGTTCACTATCAGTAGCAGAAAGCTTATGGTTTAGGTCTATAAGGGTGGAAACCGGTTTAGCACCAAGTTTGCCAGTCTCTGCAAGGAGATCAAGAACATACTTGCGTTAAGAAATGAAGATATCATCCTTAGATCTAGCAATTTCAATTCCCAAGAAGTATCTAAGATCCCCCAAACCTTTTATCTCAAATTCAGTGTTAAGAAATCTTTTGAGCTTAATCACTTCATGAGTGTCATCACCCGTAACCACAATGTCATCAACATAAACAAAAAGTCACCAAAGAGTTACTTCTCTTCACAAAGTATGGTTAGATTGAGTCTATGTATAACCAAAAGAAACAAGGGGCAGCTGTGAACCTCTCAAACTAGGCTCTAAGGGACTGTTTGAGACCATAAAGAGACTTCTTCAATTTGCACACCTTCCCTTGCATTTCCTTTCCATACACCCCTGGAGGTAAAGAGATATAGACCTCTTCATGTAGGTCTCCATTCAATAAGGCATTTTTGACATCAAACTGGTGAAGGGGCCAATCAAAAGTAGCAGCTAGAGACAACAAAACTCGAACTGAAGTCATTTTAGTCACATGAGCAAAAGTCTCAAGGCAATCAATACCATACATTTGAGTGTAACCCTTAGCAACCAATCAAGCCTTAAACCTCTCAATAGTGCCATCAAAATGATATTTGATAGTGAATACCCATTTACAACCCACTGGTTCCTTCCCTTCAGGCAAATCCACAATATCCCAGGTATGGTTCTTATGCAAAGCATCTAGTTCAATCATCATAGCATCCCTCCATTCAGCTTTGGACAAGGCTTCTGGTACAAACCTAGGAATCACATGGGTAGAAACTGATGCAACAAAAGAATAATAAGTAGGGGATAGAAGGTTGTAGGACAAATGTTTAGAAATACAATGTGCTATACACTTCCGCTTGCCTTTGCGAAGGGCAATAGGAAGGTCAAGGTCTGGGAAGGTAGCAGGTGAGTCAGAGGAAGGCTGACCTGTTACCTTAGTACTGATGGGTGGTGCAAGAGGCTCTGATGAAGGAGTGGAAACAACTTGCCCATGCCTGAATCTTTGCCTTTGGTACCACCTTTGAAGAACAGGATGTGAGGAAAATATAGGTGGATTAGCTGAGGCAAGAGGGGGAGCAGGAACATGTGAGGTAGACACAGTTGAAGGAGAGGCAACAGAAGAGGATGACTCAACAAAAGACTCAAAAGGAACTGGAAGAGGAACAACTAGAGACATAGCAAATGGTTCCTTAGAATGCTCCCCCTCAGGAGGAGTATCAAAGAAAGGAACAAACTTGGCAAAAGTGACATGCCTAGAAACAAAGCGGGTGCCACGAACCGAATCAAAACAGCAATATCCCTTCCGTGTGGAGGCATATCCTAGAAAAATGCACTTATGTGCTTTACGTTCAAATTTGTGTCTCTAATGATTATGAATATGTACATGGTAGGTGCACCCAAAAATTCGGAGAGGAAGAGAAAAGAGATCCTCCTCATTGGAAAAGAGAAGGCTAAACGGGGTCTTGAAACCCAAAACCCGAGAAGGCATACGGTTAATAAAAAAAGTGGCAGTAAGGACAACATCCCCGCAAAATTTAATAGGAACATGAGATGCAAAAAGGAGACATCTAGCAACCTCAACCACATGGAGGTTCTTCCTTTCCGCTACTCCATTCTATTGTGGAGTGTAGGAACAAGAACTCTGATGAATAACCCTAAAGGTCTCAAAGTAGGATGAGAGGTTCTTCTCAAAATATTCCTTAGCATTATCATATCAGAATATTTTAATCTGGGTGTTAAACTGGGTAAGGATAAGTTCATGAAATTTTTGCACAATAGTTGGTACTTCATCCCAGGATCTCATGAGATAAATCCAAGTATAGCGAGAATAATCATCAATAAAGAGGATAAAATACTTGTAACCCCCCATAGTAGGCAAATGGTATGGCCCCAACACATCAGAATGCACAATATGAAAAGGAGAAATAGATCTTTTATTGCTTATTGAATAAGAATGTCTACAATGATTTGCAAGTTCACAAGACTCATAATGAAGACTCGATAAAGACACTCCCTTAAACATATCGGGAAACAAATTACTCAAGGCAGGAAAAGGTAAATGACCAAACCGTAAATGACATAACATGACTATCAATAGAGACTTTGAGAAAACAGACTCCAAAGCAACTCCATTAGGTGGTCCAAGACTCCTATCAAGTGTGTCCAGTAAGTATATTCCATTCGCCTCACGGCCACTCCCAATCGTCCTCTGGGATTTCAGGTCCTGAAAAACACAATGGATAGGAGAAAAGGTTATGCTACGGTTCATGGATTTAGTCAAGCTACTAACAGATAAAAGGTTGGTATTAAGCTTGCGGAAATGAAGAACAAAGGATAAAACAAGTGTCAGAGGCCTTGATATCTCCTTTACCAGAGATGGGAGCAAGAGACCCATCAACAAGGGATATCTTCTCTCTACCAGATAGGAGCTTATATGAACAAAAGAGGTTAGACAAACTGGTCATATGGTCTAATGCACCAGAGTCAATAATCCAAGGGATTTTATGATTACCTAAAATCGTAGCATGATTTGTAAAAGCACGAGTACTTGAGTGAGTAAATGCGGATGATGAGGTGTTGCATGAAGGGTTGGATGCTGAAACAGTGGTCTCCAGATGATTAAGTAACCTCTCATACTTTTCAAACTCTGCCTTTATTGCTGTCAACTGCTCCATAGCTGATCTTTCTTCACTTTCCTTGTTTCCACCCTTAGGCACTATGGTAACATTAACATTCTTAGGCTTCCCAGTCTCACCATTCTTCTTAAAGTTGTTGTATTGTTGTTGTTCCGAAACCTGTCTAGGAGAAGATCTGGATGAAGTTTCCAACAAATGTCCTTAGTATGCTTCGGCTTCTTGCAATATTCACATATTACTTCTTTCTTCTCAATTGGCCCCTTCAGCTTTATTCCAGCATGTGCAAAGTGTTTTGTAGGTGGTCCCTATAACTATACTTGTCGCCTACTTTCTTCACTACTTACCATGGTATATGCTTGAGCAGGAGCGACCTCATCTTTGGCCAGGATGTTCTGCCTAGTAATGTTGAACTCAGGGTTGAGTTCTATGAGAAACTCAAACACCCTGTTTCGTTCCACCATTTTTCTAAATGTGTCTGCATCTTTAGTACTCTCCCATACAACTGTCTCCATAACATCACTTTCCTGCCATAATGACTTCAACATGGAGTAATAAACTACTACACTCTTCTCCCCCTGTCTCAGATTGTTCACATCACTCTTCAGCTTATAGGCTCTTGTGACATTTAACTTTTGTGAATATGTTTCTTTATCGCTGTCCCAAATCTCCTTGGTTGAGGTCATCCAGAGGTAATGCTGACTTATATGGGGCTGCATAGAATTGACCAACCACCCAATCATTGTGTAGTTCTCCTGCATCCATTTCTCATATGCAGGGTTTGTCTCTGCAGGTTTCACCTTACTACCTGTGAGATACCCTAGTTTACCTCCACTACAAATATAAACCTGTATGGTTTGTGCCCAGGCTAGATAATTGGTTCCATCTAGTGTAATTGTGGTCACACCAATCAAAAAGGAATCTACTGGGCCAACCCCAAATACCGGCATTTTCTTCATTTCACTTCCAAATTGCTCCATTGATCAAACGAAAATAAAAAAACTAGTTTTTCAGTCTTTATAGACCTAACTGAGGTCAGCACAGTACCTAGAGATTCAAAAACTAGGGTTTCCCTGCACCCGACTATCGGGGAGGAAGAGAGAAGAAGTGGCCACTCCTACCAGAGCTTCACAACCTTTTTCAAATCTCAACCGCACACTTTTGAGGATCAAACTACACCTCCCAAACCCTAAGCGCCACACCCAATCCTTCTCCTTAACCTGTAACTTGAAATATCTCTAGTCGGCTAGGGTTTTGGGCAGAAAAATTACAGCTTCAATTCTTGGCAATTTTCAGCCATATTCTAACTCTCCAAACTCTCTACCAACTAGGCAAATAGTCCTCTGATTGATCAGCAACCTATCTCTCCATACACTCTTCTAATCGAAGGGTGTATGGGAAAAAAAGGAAAAAGAAAAGAGGAGGAAGAACTGCGCTGATACCAAGATGTGAATCTGTCCTTCAAATCTGATATAAAACTGATAAAAACTAAGAAAAGTGAGAGAAAAGAAGGTTACAGCAGAATAGAAGAAGAAGATGGAAAAGAAGAGAAAGGAGAAGAGAGTTTGACGGGTTTCTCTCTCCCTTCACTAATCTTTTATTAATCTTAATAAATTATGCTAATTACAAGTCTACCCTTTAAGTGGGCGGCCAGCAAAGCAAGAACTTAAAAGAAATTAAAAAGAGATTAATAGGCCCATTAACTCATAAAACAGATAGAACACTACTTGAACATAAAACAAATATTAGGGCCCATTCGGCCCAGTCTCTCTACAGGGCTACACTGTAATTTTCCTTTTGGCGGTGAAGTAAGAGGGTTTACCTCCCCCACCTTTGTATTTAAACCTTTTTCTTAATTAACGAAAGTTTTCTGTTACTGATCAAAAACATACAAGGAAAGTTGTTGCAAGCTCAGAGTCTGAAAGTATGCAATTTTATTTGGAGTTGGTGCTGAGTCTAGTGAATCCCAAGGAAATTATACATAATAACCATTTCTCTTTGAACTTCCCTTTCCACTTTGCCATCTAAAATTATGATTTGTGACCTTCACTACCTTTGTTACTTGTGATTTTTGCTTGCATTTAGACGTTCATTTTGCACGATATTTCCCTATGTCCTGAAAAGGCTTTTTGTTTTACCTAATTGGTAATTGCAATTAGAATATTAGATTCTGTTCTCCTTTAGACTTCATAAAATAGAAAGAAAAGAACTTTGTTCTCCTATACAATCTATGGTTTTAGTTGGGTTGTTCTTGTATATAGAATGTGATAAAAGACTATCATATTAGAAATAAGGAATGAGTTGTTCCTTTCTACCTGGTCCAGTTATTATAAATAATGGTATTCTTTTAATGCTTTCACTTCTAGAAAAGATGCACTATAGCTATAATCATCTTGCAGTTAGTAACATATCCTCCTACAAACTAATAAATCTCCTTCTCTTCTTCAGAACAGTTTCTAGTGGTATTAGTGGTGCAAGCTATTACACTGGAACATTTAATACAGTAAACCGCTCTCCTGATGGGAACTATGTTGCTGTCTCAAGCCGTGGCAATTTCTATCTAACTTGGGAGCCTGGACAGGTGAGCTTTGTGTTTATATGAAGCATTTGAATGGACTGGAGTAGCAAACAATAGATTTTCTGGTGTGTAGTTGAAAATTTTAAAATTTTGGTAGCAATATTAAGATGATTATTAATACAAAAACTATTTCACCTGAGGAAAAAAGTAGTATGATTCTGTAGCTTTTATAAGTCTTTCAATCAGTTCTATTAAAAAGCACCGAGTTATGAAAGGGATTTCTGGTGAACAGTGGTGCATTGATATGACCACCTGTTACACCAAATGTAATCACCAAAAGAAACAAGTCTTTGGATCTGATCAATTCAAAATGATGTCTATCTGTTAGCTTCCATTAAGGTTTTAGAATCCATAGTTAACTAAGATTTGGTTCCTATTTGCAGATGTCATACTAACAAAGAATGTTAATCTAGGGGTAGTGTAATCTTTAGCATCTCTGAAAATTTCATGTGGGATCCTATTAGGACTGTCAGATGCCTCATTCCTTTGTCTGCAGCAATTTTGGCCAAATCCCATTATTTACCACTTCAACCTAAGTGCAAAATGTAACATTTGCTCTTTCTTGGGGCTCTGTTGCATCTGGTAAAGATAGTTACGCTTCTCTTTTTTTGATTAGTCATTCATATGCCTCTCTTGCACAGTTACTTTATGACTTCTTTTTACTGTCATATATTTCTTTTTCCCCCTCTTTTTTCATCTCCCCCCTTTTGTAGCTAATTGTTACTCTAGGTTACCTGTGTCAGATGGGATTGGTAAATCATTTAAAGCCTTTCTCACCTTTTCATAATTTGCAGCCATACTGGCAACCACATAACAGGGCAGTTGCAAGGAGAATCCAGAATATGGGCTGGAGAGCTGATGGTGGTCTCTGGCTTCTTGTACGTGGTGGTGGCCTTTTTCTCAGCAAAGGCACAGGAGTAAGTAAAAACCAACAGTTTCTGCTAAGTGAAATGATCTATATATTCTAATTTCTGATGAACTGCACGTATGCGTTACCAATGCTTGGATATTTCTAGAGCTGCTCCCTCATTGGTATGAGCCTCATGCACTGGGCTGCCCATCTAGGTTTCATCTTGCTAGTTAAATAATGATCTTTTTCCTTTTTTTTCTGAAGAATTATAATCTGAATGATTTCATCATTATACCCCAACACTTTATTAGGTTGATTTCTGACTGAAAATCCTGGGTTCTTCACTGATAGCCTGATCCAAATCATATGCTTCCAAGTTTGGATCAAGGATCAAAATATCGCAACATATCGGGGTGTATCGGGGGCTTCCCGATACGCCCCTACAGGGGGTGTTTTGGGGTTTCGTCTAGTTCAGGGGGTAAACCAGCCTTAAACCGACCCCTCTGAACCAGTTCCAAAGAAAAAATAGAAAAATAAAAAGCGTGCAAAGATATTGGTTTGGATTAAAAACTTGACTAGTATCTTAAAAGAAAATGAAAAAAAAAAAAAGAACAGGGAATGGACCTTGCATGGGATGTCTTGTTAGAACAACTCAACATATTTTATGCAAAGGGACGTGCAATAAGTTGGTGAACCTTTATTACTAGATTTTTCCCCTTGAAAGGCTGCTCATGGAGTTCTTTTATTCTTTTGTATTATTCATGGAGAAAAGAAATACAATAATCTCAAATGCTTCTTTCACAGTGACAACATCTGCCCTGCAGGAACAGGAGGAAGTGAAAATATTGTCTTTTATATTTATGAATGTTTTTTAATGCATCCATCAGATTTCTATCTATAAATGTAACAGTGCATGTCACCATTCCCTTTTCTAGTTGTTAGAATACAACTAGTAGCTGCTGTAGATTGTGCCTTTTTTTTTTCGTTTTCTTCCTGAAAATTTTTATCATTCCATTCTTCAGATAACAGAGGAATTTGATGAAGTTCCAGTTCAAAGTCGTGGTTTTGGCATTCTTGATGTTGGATATCGATCAAAGGTAACATATGCATTGAACTTAGTCTGTGGTAATATAAAGTCCAGCTAAAATAAATAAATACATGCATGCATACATAATGTGTATGTACCCATACACACGGATAAGAAACGCGGTTTCTTACCTGCAACCTCACTCATTGTTGTGGAAGAGAAAGTCAATTATCCGAGTTGTACCCTCAATGATATTATGATTATTATCCATCATTCTATATTAACGGAATATTAGCCCAATGAACTTTTTAGAAACAAAACACGTTTACTTTCCTTTTTTTCCAGACTACCACCAGGTATCCGATCATTTGATGGATCTACCATCAATTTTACTTAAGTCAACTAAGCCTTGCCCCAACTATATTGGGTTAACTACATGAATCCTCTTCCATATTTCACTTTTTTCAGTGCCATATCCATTGTTAAATTAGGATGTATTACTAAATAGTAAATAAAAGAAAAGGCATAAGGAAAACTATATAGAAATAAATGCTTTTTTCTTTCATGGGTGCCACCAGATATACAATCATTCAACAAATACAAGCCCAATGAATTGTTTTAGGAACAAACACATTTTCTTTACTCTTGCAAGTCTACAACTCAACTCAGCCTTAATCCCAAATATTTGGGGTCAGCTATAGGGGTGATCATTTCTAGTCCGACCCATAATATATTTGTATATGTAATTGTGTATATATAGTATACCCTGAGCTATTTTATTTTATATAAAGTAGACACACACACACAAATATATTATATGTTATATCAAGTATCATATATACTTAAATATAATATGTTTAAATTCATAGGCCTAGAAGCCTGGCCCATTATCACCCCACACCCCTAGTCATCTACATAAACCCTTTCCTGCCATTATACCACTTACACCATGTTCCTTTGGTCTTTCAATTGCTCTTTTAGAGCCTTCTACTTGCACTCACTAATTGGATCTGCTCATAATTGTTCTATAATGTGTTCGCTTTTTAATCTCTCCTTTCTATTCCTGCCATTCATCCAACTCAATGATTTTTTTTATCATTAACTGCAACTTTCATTGATTAAAGAAGAGAAAGAAAGTACAAGTACAATTAGACATAAAACAGCTTTTTTCAATACCAAAGAAAATTAAAATCGAGCCCAATACATATGATTTCTCCTAACCCCTTGTTTTTTTCAAAGCATCAGCCATGTTGTTAGCCATCCTTTGGATCTATTGAATTCTAACATCCATACCCCCTAGAAATCCATTTAATCTTCTTGAACTCATTCATCCATCTCAACATTGTCAACTCACCTACATTCATTTTTTGATTATGTTGTATCTTCATTGCTGAACGCTCTATCCTATATAGGAAGGCTGGTTTTATAATTGCTTATAAAATTTTCCTTTTAAAATCATTGGTATATGCAAGTTACATAGTAAGCCTGACTCACCTCTCCACTTCCACCAATATGTAGTTCGCTGTGTTTTATGATCATCAATCTTAATTGTACCATCATGGTTACTAATATTTTTTACTAAAATTACAATACATGTATTCTTAGTTTGACTTATCTTGAAACCTTTCAATTCTAAAGCATTTCCTCATTGTTTAACATTGCATTCAGCCCATCTGAGGTCTTGTCGATCAATACTATATCATCAGCAAAACATGGGACCTCCTATAAATGGCTAGTTAGTTCATCCATAACTAATGCAAAAAGGTTTAGAGTAGTGCTGACCCTTGGTATAAAGCATCTCTCCCTCCTGAGTTCTCACATACATATCCCTAATGATCTTAATTTACTTACCTGAAGCCCCTTTCTAAGTTCTTATTGATCTCCCAAGTAAAAAGATTGTCACCATAGTTGCTAGTCCTAGTATGAATCCAATTTGGCTTTTTGATACACTAGTCTCATGTTAATAACTGCTCAATCACCTTTCCCCAAAGTTTCATAATATTGCTCATAAGCTTAATCCTTCAATGGTCATTGCAACTTTGTATTTATAAGAAAAACAACCTACAAGAATAAGGGAAAGTAGATCTTTTGATTGATTTCTTTAAACAAAAAAAAACAATTAAATACTATTAAGTTCACAGTTTAGAATGAAACAATTTTACATGTAGATAGCTGGGGTCAACACTGGGTAATGGCCTTTTTCACATGCTGAAGTATTTAGGAAAATGAAAGTTGACTTTTACCAGAGATTCTCTGCAGCTTATTCTGAATGGTTTCATGGTGTGCCAGGATGAAGCCTGGGCAGCTGGAGGCAGTGGGGTTCTGTTGAGAACCACAAATGGTGGGAAGACATGGATCCGTGACAAAGCAGCTGACAATATTGCCGCAAATCTATATTCAGTGAAGTGCGCTCTATTACTTTTGAACCTTTGACATTTCTTCTTTCCTATTGGTCGTTAAGCTAATGTTATCATAAATGTTAATCCTACTAGAGAGCTTTTTAGGTTTCCATTATCTCTTAAACTATCCCTACTGTTCACGAAACTAACAACTGTACCCTTACTGTTTAGGTATTGTCTTGTGGTACCCTTAAGTTTTCTGACAATTGTTTAAAACCTCCCTTGCCATTAATTTTCCGTCACATTTCGTTCACATGTGCTCAGTCTCCAGGCATTCAGTTCAGACGAGTAAGACCTTCGCCGGTGGTAGTTCTTTGTTCACCGTCAAGAAGACAATTAACAGAGATGAAGATGGAGGAAGGAGAAGAAGAGGACCCTGTTTCATCACCATCCCACCTCTTCCCCTCCCTCTCCACCACCCTTTCACCCTCTCCGATACAATGTGAATCTCACCGCTGTGGGAGAGGTCACTCCCTTCATTTTTACTTCATCGGTCCCCGTAGGCCATAGCCGTAGACGACTGTAACACCATTGGAGTTCATTAACATCCGCCGACAGAGAAAATAAAAGAAGAGGAACTAAGAGGAAGAAGAAAAGAAGAACGAACGAACGATTGGCGGATTTTATATGAAGATGGTTTTAATCGCCCACCCATCAAGCTCCTCTCTCAACAATATATCATCTTCAGTGCGATTCACATACACGACGCACATCTCCGTATCATCTTCTAGGTCTCTCAAGATTGCTTGGGTCACTTGATAGATGGGTGTGATTCCAATCCCTCCGGCCAGCATTGCGAGCCGCTTCACAAACTTGGGCTTGCCGGTGTACTCGATGTGTCCCAATGGACCCTTAACGTCCACGATGGAGCCTAGGGAGAGAGAATCCAAGAACTGTGGCATGAGCCCTCCATTGGAGAATTTAGATTCATGCCCTTGAAGTAGACCTTGACGACAAGATCAAAGTAGCCCACTTCGTCGACTAAGCTTGTTAGGGTGTAAGCACGAATGCAGAGCTTATTGTCTATGGTAGCGGAAGAGACGGACGTCATGAGACAACAATGCGAAGCGGAAGAGACGACAGCACGATATCAAAGAGATTGAAGTCTTGCAGAAGAGACGTCGTGAGTCTATGGTAGCCCACTTCCCTACTGGTAATCCCAGGACTTGATCCTTCGACGGCAACGCGAAGCAGAAGAGATGGACATTGTGAGAGATTGAAGTCTTGCAGATGAGCTTGCATGGAATTTTTTCACGCGGTATCAAAGAGCAAGAAAATCTGGCAAAACCAACGGCTTCTCCAAAGCCATGCTCTCCGTGTCGGAAGCGACAGAAATAGGGCTGAGCCCGTTACCGGCTTGTTGTCTACCCGTGAATGGCTGACTTCCTTCTCTGCCCATGAATCTGAGGCAAGAACTGTTGCATTTCCCGGCAAACCCCGCTTACCCATCGGCTCTTTATCTTCCACCAAATCCGCCATTGCTCTGACCTTGGGCGGGGCACAGATTTCTTTTTCAAGCAAAGCTTTGAAAAAATTGGAAATCAGGGGTTTTTCATCAGTTGGGTTTTATTTTGAAAATTTGATAAATAATGAAGGGCAAATTCGACATTTCATTTCCTTCCGTTAGCACTTAACGACAATGCCAATTGTCAGAAAACTTAAGGGTACAGTTTGTCAATTTCGTGAATAGTAGGGGTAGTTTAAGAGATTTACCCTTTATTTTATATATGTGTATAAATGAATTCAACTGATAAGAGAGGAAAAAATGGTATATCTTTTATGACTTACAATAGGCGAAAGCTGCATATGTACATTACACATTGCCTATCCTATCCCTTCATGGTTCATTCTGAACCGTTCACGGCCTTTGAACCACGTGTGTGGCATCTTCATTTACAAGTTCTTTGATATTGATTTTTCTTTTTCTGCAGGTTCATTAACGATAACAAAGGCTTTGTGTTGGGAAATGATGGTGTTCTGCTTCGGTACCTTGGATGATTTGACAGCTAAATGTCCTCATGTATGGAAACTTATTCTTTGAGTCGTCAATTTGCTAGTGCCAACCGTTCCACCAAGAAAATTTGGTAGTACCTACTATTTTACCTTTTAGCAAGGAACCTAATGGAATAGTTAGTGGTGTATATGCATTTGCATGTTGAGTTATAAGAGGGCTCTCTTCATGGTTTAATTGATGATAGTTGATCCTAAACAACAATAGCTTATTGCTAAAGAACCAGCTGACAGTTGAATCTAACCATCTTTTGAAGTTCTTTTATTAAGATGGTTAAGTACTTCCAATCAGTGTTGACTTTTGGCCTTGGCCAGCTTGATGGGTTGTGGAGTGGATTGGACTATCTGGATCAGAGAAATGTTCCCTTGTCAGTTAGACAAATATTAAAGTATTGATGTTTGATTAGGACCATCTAACACTATAATTCCTGGACTAATGGTCAATTCACAAAATGTTTTACTAGTTGGAAGTATTATTTTAGAAGGATAATTGTCACTGTTTCGATGATGAACTTTCAAAGTTATTAGACAATGTAAGAGCTTGATCTTGACCACACTGTCTGAGACACTGCAATAACCTGCATTAAATAAGTCATTGACACAAGGTGTTGTGGGTGCAGGTTTACCAATTGCACATTTTCGTACCATCAAAAGTCGGTTCTCGTGATGTAACATATCTGGAAAAGCTCTGTTGAATTTTGGAAGCATATCCATTTTTCTACTTTCCAAGTCAGAGGTATGATGCAACCATATCTGGAACAGTTGTTTTGTATTTGTGAAGTTAATGTAATATTCAAATTTATTCTTGTAACATGTACATCGCGTGACTGTTGTAATATTTTAAAATTTAAAAACCCAGTTTTACATTAATTTCTTTTGCCCCAAAATTGAATTTTTTCCGTTCTTATTTTTTGCTTTTTCAATTTCTTTTGCCGCATCTCTATTCGCATCAGAGAGAGAGAGAGAGGATGTGACATTAGTAATTTAGTATGTGACCTGATTTATACCGGAGACAAATTCAGCTTGATCGTCTAAACTACATGTAATGGAGAACATGGACCTGAAAACGCATATCTAGTCATCTATTTAATACCGATTACTTTCATCCATATGGCTCAGTTTGGGAAGAGTACAAATACAAGGTTTGGTTTTCAAATACCGTATACAACAAGGTTTTGCATTATACAAAACTAGCTGGTGATGGCAGGGATGCCGATAGATTATTTGCTTTAAATTTTCAGATTACAGAAAAGAAAAACTACAGGGAAGGATTCAGAGCTTGAATGAATTAAGAACAAATAATAGATCGATTATTTTGAAATGATGCCTGCATAGATTCGGAAAAGAAACAGAACAAGGGTATGGGTATAGCAGCATCGATGGGGACATTGAAACATCACTGAGATCTCCACCCTCTGATGCAGCAGGTTAAAGTCAAACAACTAAAAGCTTTTGTAACTCCTGCTTCAGAATTCCGAACCGTGAACTTCATGAATTTAAATGGCATTGCCTTTGGGTTTGGACCACCATACTGGTGGAACCAACCACATATCGTAGGCCAAAAATGAAAAATCAGCCTAAGCTCAGATCCCACAAATTCATACTAATCTTCTTATCATATCTCGCTTATGGAGGGAGGACTGATTACCATCTCTTACACTCGACTACTTACAAATTAGATGGTGTAGGAACGGATGAATTTGCTGAAATAGCACTGAAACAGTTGCCAGTTCAGTGGTCATAATTTGTTATATTGGCATCCCGTTTCCTGATTCGCTACTTCATATACTTGAGCCTAGTCCATGCTTTTATTTGTTCAATGAGATGTGAAGAGAGAAAAGGGCAGTCTTCTATAGGTCTGCCCTTCCTCTGTGCTTAAATCTCACCATTTTGTCTGGAATTAATTCTGTGTTACATTGTACATGTTCTATTATTTTAAAACTAATTGTTCTTAATTTCTTGGTCACATTTAACCATCTTTTGATCTTTGCAATTATCAATAATAAGATGTCCCTTTAGTCTTGATTTTTAACAAGCATTAGTTGAGTCTGGATGTACATAAACTAATATTCACCCAACATTCAAATGCACATTGGTTTTATATTGACAAATACAGATGAATACAAAATTGAAACTTGCAATACCCATGGAATGGATACAAAAGATTTATAGCCCTAAAGCACAAAGGCCCAATGTAAAATGTAGTGTCCGTTTAGGAGGGCTTTCCATGGTGGCTTACTGGCTTTTGCCTTTTGCAAGATGGGCCCCATCTGGACAGCCTGTGTAGGTAATGTTTGGTAAAAAACTGAAAATTGCCTTTCCCTTAGAGGCTTCTTTTAGTAGCTTCTCCAAAGCATCTCAACCAAAGATTCATCCCTCACAAATCCCTCAAGGCTTTGTGATTTTACTTTCTGGCTCAATCTTGTTCACCACAGCAGAAAGCTAAAAATCAAAAGGTTATCCAAACAGAGACTAATTTCCACCAATCCAATCCATTTAGGCCAATGCTCAAACAAGTCAGATGCCACGGATGAGTGATGAACAATGCATTGTACATAGAAAAACATACATTCAATGTTTAAAAGCCGACCTCCTCTTAATAATTGTTCAGATCACATGTATTGGGCCCACTCCATTAATAAAGGATATATTTGATGCAACTGATATTTGATTTTTCATCAGTCTACAATTCCTAATGAATTTTACAAGTTCATATAAATTACATACAGCACATGAAATGAATAATCAAAAAGTATTAAAGAAATAAAAACGCCAATATAAATTACATAAAGTTCCAACCATGAGTTGCCCACCAGATCGATATTTGGACTGCATGTTCATATTCAAACCAGTTCGATAACAACCAGTTAAAGCCGAGATGGAATGAAATGCAATACATCCCATGGAAGATGCTCTTTATTGATTTTGTTTATTGGAGTTCCTGTTTCAGTTCCATAATTTAAATGAAATGCAATACATCCCATCAGCTGGCATTCGGTCTTCTGGTCTACTCTTTTTTTATCAGTTTCTTCTGATCCACTCTGAACATCTTTCTTCAGCAAATGCTGAGATTAAATGCCCAGGTGGCATAATAAAACTTCAGGAGATGCTGAAGTTTGCTTGATCACAGGTAGTAATTGCCCAATCCTAGTTCTGTGGTAAAGTGACACATTGAGAAAGAATTCCAGAATTATGAATTTAAACGAGTATTAGCTTAAGACAATGTTGTAGCATTGCATAAAGGCCTGGGGGCATGGGCCTTCTTTCAACAACAGAAAACCCTCAAGTTTATTAAAAGAGTATGCTAATGATCAGATTTTACAAGGAATCAGAAGAAAATAGAGCTTTCAGAGGCATAGAATTCAACCAATGGATTAAGTTAACATCCTACTGATTTAAGTAATTATGTTTTCAACATTTTCATCTTGTGGGATTCTTTGATCTGTGTGCACTAATTATTGCAACCTCAGGCAGATTACATTCTTGGAAAATAACCTGGCAAATCTATGAGCTATTTAGTTATGGAATAACTAACCCAGTAAAAGTTCACCATAGATGTGCTTCTATTGCTTTGAAGTCTCTTCTTCATTTGGTGGTGGGATGTATTGAAGGTTAGAGATGTTTCACATATGCAAAGAGTAAAACCCTAAAATTATTTTTGGAGCCCTTATCGCAGGTCCTGACAGGAAAATCGACTTCTATGATGAGCTTTCCAATTATTAGCAGACTGAGTCTACCAGCTCTGGTTGTGTTCCTCTTGCAGCCCTCATTACCAATGTTGAAGAGCATCATGGGAAACTGAGGTGGATATAGACAAGCAATTTACATTTTTTCTGTTCCACTTCATCTTACCATCAAAGTCCATGAGATCCATACACACCCTAATGGTCTAGGTACTTTGCAAAGAGATAATCTAGGTGCTTGTAGAAGAGGCCCTTCTACATCACCTAGATGGAGTCCAACCAGAACTCTTCTAAAGAACAAATTCAAACAATCACATGACTAGATTTACTTGACTCTCTAGAAAAATTTAATGAATGTAATGGTTAAGTCACCCAACCAGAATATGTAGATTAGAAGATCTACAAGAAAATAATTAATATGCAGTTCTCTTCTTTTGGAGTATGTAGTTAGAATATCTGGATACTAGTTGAAGCATTTGCATATGAATTCTAAACAGTTTCCTTTCAACTACAATATGTAGTCCATACACCTCTTATCTAACCAACACCCCCCAAAAAGAAGAATAAAAAGCATAGGCCCCATTGAACTACATTTAGCTAATGCGCCCTGGTTCACAAAAGTGATAATAATAAACAACAAAATAAAAGCTACTATTCTCTGGTACTAAATTAAGGAAAGCATCCCTGATATGTACTTGATCAGTCATTCAGTCTCTGCAAATTAAGCTTAGTAGACGCTATCCATTTGGTTAAGAAAAGAGAGTAGGAACTTCCATTGAACATCTGAAAAGAAGATAACACCACCATAAAAGAAGATAACTAAATGTCTAAAAACCTGCATTGTCAAGCTTGGGCCGCTTCTGGAGCTGTTCAAGAGCTCCTCTTTGTGGCACTATAGCCATGGTTCAAAGCATCACTACTTATGATACGCAAAAATTGCATATCGTGAGCTTCCATGGGCAATGCTCTTTTTTCATTTGTTCATCTCAGTATTTCACAAATAGGTACATTAGGAGGTGTTCCAACAGTTAAACATTAGAAATCCCCTAACTCATGGTGAATAGTGTTTTAGTGGGTTCAAAAACCAATACGTACTGTATGATACACACCTATTGCAATGTTCTGAACCTTGACTATAGCAAGCAACAGGCAACTATATAAAGTGGCTCAGAGAATGCAATAAAGGCTATTGGAACACCTCCCAGGGACCATGGAAAAGGCTGGTGACTAGCAGTCAAATATTTGTTGACTTCATCTTTGAATAGTTACTAATTAATTTAATGATTCATCTTGTAACCAAAATACAACTTTTCATCATAAACAGCCAAAATATAATGATCCTTCGGCTTCATGTCAGTATCTCATAATTGTAATTCTCTCGTTTTGGTAACAGAATTTGCTTGCCCACAACACATAAAGGGTAGAGGGAAAAAAAGAAGAGAGAGAACATCCAAGAGCTAAAGAATGATGAGTTGAGAACAATCTATCAGTATAAACATTTCCTTTTTTTTTCTCTTATTACTGATTTACAATAACTATCAAATAAAAAGATAAGAAAGAAGAGAGATAACATCAATTAAAGGCAAAATAAATCTATACAAAGATAAGAAGCCAACTAACCTTCCTCTCTATGCATATTCCTCCAAATCAAATTAAACCACAACCCAATCGCCCGTGTCATCAAAATCCAAGGTAGACTCAACAAGTGCATCAGCTCTCTCGTTTTTCCGAGGCAGACTAATTGACAATTGTGTATTACAATCTTGTTTGCTTATTTTTGCTTCTTCCGCCTCCTTTTCAGACTTTATTGTTTTTTCTGATAGATCCTCAGCAGTCCTTCTCTCATCATCCAACAATAAGGCCTCTTCTACTCCCTTCGGTAGAGCCTTCATATGAAGATCAACATTCAATGCTTTATCAGCCTTGACTCCAAACAACCTGGACAGAGCACTGTTTACATACACTGTTCTACATTCATCCGTCTCGGCCTTCCTGCTCCACGTCCATAAAAGCTTTGATCTCGGAAACTCTCCCTCGGCCAACCCAATGACAAAAGGACGGTTACCGTCACTCTCGGAATTATACTTGGCCGGAAAAGGCGGCAACGTCGACTTGAATCGATCCCTCACCGCCTGTAAAATCTCATCCATCAACGCATACCCATTATCTTTACTGACCTTCTCATGGATCGCGATTACGACATTCTCAGCTTCCATGGCAGTAGGCACCAGTTTCTTGAGGAGGGATGCCTTCTTCTTGGTGCACACGAAGTAGATTCCGTTGTACGTGAAGACAGCAATCGTGTCGGGGAAGTCATGGCCGAGAAGCCAGACGTAGAAGGCGGAGGTTACTGGATGGGAAAGGGCGGCGGAAGGGGAACCGTCGGCGGGTGGAGGGGGTGTGCAGAGCAAAAGAACGTTGGAATCACACCATAGAGATCCGTTTCTTTCCTTCCAGCTCGAGTAAAATAACCTCAATCTCTTCTTGAATGCTCTCAGGTTCATGCTGTGTTGCTTAGAATCCCCTCATGGTAATGGGTTTCTGCTGCAAATTTGAAAACTTCAATTACGCCCACAAGTAGTATCAAAAAACAAACATGAAACAACTAAATATTTCCTCCTATTCTTCTTCTTCAATTAGGGTTAGGGTCAGATTTTAAAGACAGAAAAAGGGTAAGGATTAAAAACAAAAGAAAGAAAACAAGAAATTAAAGATGAACATGAAACCCAGAAAACTCCACCAGGAGGAAAAAAAAACAGGTATTAATCTTTGAAGTGGGGAGAAGAAAAGGGCAGAGCTTTCTAACCTGTTTTGGAAATTGGAGGGGGTTAGAACTTAGAATCTCATCTTACGTTCCTGAGAAGACTCAAAACTTGCTTGGGGGTTGGGAATCCATATCCGACATTCCTCACAGAAGCAGGAGATTTGGGTTGGTACGCAAAACGCGCCAAATAAATAACACGCCGCACCGGCCGTAATTTAGAAATTAGAATTACAGTTACGATTCATGGTGGTGAATTATTTATTATTTTGTCCTCAAGTAAATAAATCGTTTAATCAACCCAATCCAGTCCACTATGGTACCGAAAAAGGTATGGTACCTAAACCAACTCGTAACCAATCATCTAGTAACTGTCGGTTAGAATATCAGTAAATATGGTTACAATTAACAAAAGTTTGCAAAGTTAAATATAAAATAAAAACTGGATTTATCTAAATCTCAAATCCCAATCAATTATGCAGAATTTTAATAATGAAAATTTATACGTATACATACATTCATACCGGATCCTAGCAGATTATAGAAATAGAGAGAGCAAAGTTTGGGTGAAGAATTTTATTGGTCAAATCTGATTAGAATTAAATTGAGTCGAATTGAATTCGATTCGAACTATTCGATTAAACTTTAATCTCTTTGCAGTCTTATTGGCACGGAAGAAATGTAACTTTTATCTTTTAGTTTTTTTGCCAAAAGTGAAAACTGTTTTAAGATGTAAACTTTAATATCTTTTTTTTTTCTTTTCAAATTGAGATTGAGAGCTTCTCAAATGAACCATGAGGAGGTCCAGAACGGAAGAGTTAGATGCTTTAGTATAGATTCTTTTAGAATGATTTACTATAACACTCCCTATAATTTCATGAATTTATTTAAATCTATCTTATAGTTTTCATTTTATTAAAAGCATCCCTTATAATTTACAATCTAGTTATTTAATCAACCTTTCATTAACAAGTGTTGGTTTTTTCATCCGAAAATAGTAACATTATAACCTAAATTGAGTGAAAAATGTTCAAGGGCATGGTCCTATGGCTATTTATTCCAAAAGTATATCCCTAATACTTTTTCGTACAAAAAACAAAATTGACTAAATAGAGCTAAATAGAATAATTATTCGTATCTTACTAGAGGCAAAAATGATATTTTCATTTTTTTTCTTTTTTATTGAATTTATTCAAATGGGAATTAGGATTAAAGCTCCACTGTCATCTAATAGAAGGTCAATTAAGTAAACCAATTGCAAACTATAGGGAAACTTTTAGTAAAACACAAACTATAAGGTGGATTTTAGTAAATCCATAAAGTGTTTCATTAAACGACCCATTCTTTTACTTAGATATAAATAAAACTTTCTCTGCATTGATTGAACCGCTTTGAAAATGCTACTTAAGATAGCTTCATTGGAAAGTCAATTTTTTGGCTCATTTATTTTATGGAATTTTCTGTTTTTTTTGTGTGTGTGTTTAAGATGCAAAGGTGTTAATTTTTTGATGTCTTTTGTTTGTATCATGGTTTTCAAAACCAGACCAAATCGGACGGTCAGAATGGAAAACCGGGAACCGGTCACCTCACTAATTCCATTTTCCTCCAAAACCACTTTTTCCCCAAAACCGTTGATTTTGGTCAGCAAACCGCTGAACTAGCCGGTTAACCGTTCGAACAGTTTTGACCGTTTTCCAATTTTTTAAATTTTTTTTATTCTTTTTTTGTCAGAACGGGCCAACCGTTCGAACCGGTAACCGGTTCGGTCACCAATTAGTTTTTAAAAACCATGGTTTGTGTTACTAGATTCATGGACTTTCTTCCAAAAATGAAGAAACCCAAAAAAATATATTTTATCAAATGGTTTTGATTGTAAGAAAAAATCCTTTAACCAAACAAATTATTTTTTAAATTTTTGGTAATTTACAAAAATAAAAATAACAAAAGAAGAACTGTTTAGTAATTAAAATTTGTGAATTGCATAAAATATGATCTGAATCATATATTAAAGGAATTAAAACAATCTGACAATGCACCCAAACAATGCAAAACCGTGTGACGAGACAGAAGCATCAAAGTTGATGTTAATCGTTCCTTGAATGGGAGGATTACATTTCACATTTTCACCTGTTTCCGTTTGTATTAAAATATTCCCAAACGGCATTTAAGGCTTTCTTACATCTAATTTTCTGTATGAACCATAATAGAAAACATAACTTTTCCCATATTAAAGGGACTTCATTCACTTTTGAGTTTCCCCCATTCCTACCAACTACCAAGTACCAACCATTGCGTAAAATCTTCCTTGTAGTCTCCATCAATTACCATTCCTCTATCTCTTAGAAGAGTTTCCGTTGGCAGTTTTCCCTTCAAAATTAACCACAAAAAACTTTATGTTGAGGGGAACAGTACATCTTTAGAATTCCATTTTGCCCTGTCCTCCGGCTGAGCTCTCTGGATGGGGATTGCCTTTATTTCCACTCTTATATTAGGGTCAATAACAATAATATCCTTTACTCTCATATTCAATTGATCATTGTTAAGTCCATTCCTATTTAGTCCCCTGTTAATTATTGGTCCCGAGTTCAGCCATTTATCTTTAACTAGGTTTATCATATGCTCTCCACTAATCCAACTTCCCAGCACAGTCCTTGTTTTAGGAGTTAGGTCACCCTAACCTGGGCTACTTTAGTATGGATAAATAAATCAACCCAGATGAACGCCGCCGACGTGGATAGATAACAAATGGCAAATGCACAAACTAAACTGATATTTAGATATCAAGATCACGGGAGGGTGGCATTGGGGTCTGAATCTACACCTCACAGCACGGTGGGAGGCTGGTATAGGGGAACATCTCTTATCTGGATTTTGCTATTCATGTAGAGATTTTCCAAATGCACGGTGAGATGTTTTATGAGGTCAATGTGTCGAGCAAAATCCCAATTCTTACATGGTAAGCACCAAGTGAAAAGCTATTGTTACTGAAGTTGGTATATTTTCATACCAGAAGACTTCTGCATTGTTAATCTAGGCACACTTTCGGAAAGAAAGACTTGCATTTGTAGTCCTTCCAAACTGAGCCTTGATTATCATACCCTACGAGTCTTTAATAATTTTATACCAACACTAAAAAGTAAGAACTCCGTCGATTAGAAAAAATGGTCACCTAGTCTCAATGGAAACGGTTATGATTGGTTGAGGAAAAAATAATCTCATTAAAATGGAAGAATTCTAATAAGTACTATATATAAATTTTGAATTCAATCCTTCAACAACAAGAGAAAATAAGCCTTGAATTGGCATTGTCAAAAACATGGTAAAAATCCTTACAAGGCAATATACCAAAAAGACGAAAAAACCCATGACCAAAACTAGCAAGTTTACGAACTGAAAAGGAGGCAAACAACTTCCAAAACTCCTCCATGTTTTTTGTTCATTCATCATCGAACGTTGTCTTCTTACCTGGCATTGGAGAGAAAGAATTTTCAGAACATTACTTGAAAAGCATAAATATAGAACAGTTGTAATAAAATTTCTCAAGAGCAGGAATATTTCAAAGTTACGTCCAGTCTGTTAAAAATCTAATGGCAACCCAGACAAAGTCCACGTATGAAGAATGGTTAGGGAGCCCATAACATCAACATACAAATATCCTTCCAAATAAATTACGCTGCAAGACGTTGTTCTGGAGATGAACACACATAAACTAGGACATAGGTCTTTCTTCCTTTTGTTGGTAAATAGATAAAGAATTTGGTCTTCCAAGCTTTGAAAAGTCCAAAAGACCACAAGAAAAGACACGGAAGACCCCCAAAAGAAAACGATATAGGACTGACAATAGGAGTTATGTGGGCGGGCGGTGCCAGACTGATAATATATATTATCAATTTATATAAAATATGAATATGGGTCGTGGATAACAGTTTTACAGACATTGTAAGCTCCCAATTCAAGAAATATGGACTAAACTTATATCCAATGTTGCCACACTCGGACCAAACAACCCAACAGGCTCGGTAGGCCACACAGTTTCACCAGTTCACTTCAATCCATAATACCGTCAATCAGCTAGGAACCTGAAAGCTAACCAGGTCATTGGTTCAAACATCCAATCGGACTTGACATTTTCTTAAACATCACACTGCAGGTGAAAGGTTCTCATGTTCAAAAGGATCTGGCAAGAATATCTAGGAATGGAAACTCTAACCTGTGCCAGCTGCTGCCAAGCTTGGCTTATTTGGTGTTCCGCGTCCCCTGCCACGACCTCCAAATCGACCCCCACCACCAGATCGACCACCTCCACGTCGGCCACCAAATCGGCCACCATCTCTACCACCACTCCTGCCGCCACCACCTCTTCCACTGCCACCACCATCACGACTGTCACCTCTTGGTCTTGCCTCTTCCACTGTCAAGGAATAATCCCCAAGTTCACTTCCGTTCAATTCCAGAGCCTTTGAGAAACTGTCACCGTCACCAAACTCAATATATGCTATCCTGCAGCACAAAAAAAATGGTAAAAGATAATATAACACATAAAAAAAAAGGCATTCTTGAGGAAGAACAGCAGACAAAACTCCAAATTGATTTTGACAAACAAAAGAAATGAAAACAATGCAAAAAGCATCAAAACAGTCTTTTCTGGAAGGGATTTCAAAGCACTTAATGAACCTCAGGTTAACAAGGTCCCCTTCAAGCTACTTGTACCAACCAACAAAAAAGATTACAAGATAATTAATGGAAAAGGACAATAGACAAATAAAACGAAAATCAAATGCGCATACCCCTTGGGAGCACCACTGTCGAAGTCTTTTGGAATGGACATTCTAGTAATCTCTCCACAAGATCCAAAATGTTCTTCCAAGGTGCTACGTATCTGCAGTCACCAATCAAGAGTGTAAAAGACAGCTCCAAAAAGCAAATCTAGAAACAACCATGTTGAATGGCTTTACCTGATCCTCCCCACCAGATTTATCAAAACCGCGTACATATATGGTCTGGCCTTGGCTTTTCCCTCCCTTCTGGTACGAACTGTTCTCTTTTCTAAAATATTAAAAAGATCCAGTGAAACTCGATATAATATCAATTTTTTGGCAAGGAGAAAATTGTACAGGAAAACCATACCCGCTATATGGAGTATATGAGTTTCTTTCACGAGCCAAGTCAAGTCTAACTGAACGACCCAACAAATCTTGCCCATTTAACTCAAGAGCCTGCAAACAGGAAATATTAATAAAAACAAGATGAAACTTGTTAAAGAAGAATTAATTAATTAATAGAATGAGGTAAATGCACCATAATTATCAAAAAATCAAGGAAAATTCACCAACAGAGTGAGTGCATGGACTGAGCATATGAACATGTTGCAGTTGTGGCCCTTATTGGAAGGCAGCTATCATTTTTCGATATTAATCTCGCATATACAATGATGCCATAAATCAAAAAAAGATGCCATTGTCAACATATACTCAAGTCCTCTCATGCAGGTAGCAAAGCAAGGCACATGTTGACATCCTTCAAGATTCTCAAGTCAAAACAGTAGATATGAAATGTGAACTAAAGTAGCAAACATTATAAAAGTTTCCAGCAGTTCCTCCCATTCCTACAACCATGGCAGAGGCCTTCAAGCAACTTTATCAGGATGAAGTGGGACCATGAAGATTCCTTCAATAATTAAGAATTTTTATCAAGTGTTTCTGTATTAACATACACTTGTTAGAAGTAACTATCAGGAAAAACCAATAGACTCAGTGTTCATCTATACATATCACTGTAAAGGCTCATTTAAGATGGATGAATAAAAGAATGAATCAATGAAAATCAGAATTTTCTTGTAATCTTATGGTTTTGTGCTAACTTCAGTAGGTGCAGACTCAAACATGATTTTAGAATATTATATGGTACATTTCATTTAAATAGATTGTATCCATTAACTTATGTGAAAGTGCAATTTCGTTCACTAACTTGATATAAAGAAGTTTCCTTGTCTAAAGTGACCCGCCAAAAGTTAATAACAGTATAACAAAAACATTCCCGAGGCAACAATGTAAGAAGCAGATGTATGGCCTCATTGTAAGAGAGTTCAAGAAATAACTATTAAATTGCATCTACCTTCATTGCAGATTCTTCGGTTGCAAATTCAACATGGCCAAATCCCTTGAACCGCCCTTCTTCATTTGAAGCAAAGCGGACATCAACAATTTCCCCAGCATCCTTAAAGAATTCCTCCCTAAAGGAAAAACAGAGAAGAATAAGTCATAAATGAGATCATGGAAACCCTAGTGAAATGTCCAAGGCCTAGAGTACGTTATAGTTGGTTGCTTACACATCAGCCCGTTCTATTGAAAAGGAAAGGTTGCCAACAAACAATGTCTTTGACCCTGTACTTTGCACTTGAGGTGTAGCAGGAGTCTTGGGCTGCACAATATACAGAAAAAAAAAAGTTCAAACATTGCATGAAAGAGTTCATTATAATAATCAAATTAGCAATCAAACAAAGTAAAAGCATACAGCTTTCTTTGCAGATTTTGCATCAGCTTTCTTAATATTTTCCTTAGGTGAGGCAGCATCTACCATTTCTTCATCACTGTCTTCTTTGGCCTAAAAATATTTCAATACAATACATTCAATTAGAAACACATGACATCAAGGCTATCATGCAAAATTGGAAAACCTTCCATTTTGTGAGCAAATTTTAGAAAATTGCATAATTGGAACTCATTTCCCAAAACAACTAAGAAATGGCACCTAAATTACAGAAAGCCCTTTATCACAGAAGTGCAAATCCAAACTGATAAGGCATTTTTCATTTACTAGTTGCTAATATAGCAATAGATATGGCATTAAACAAAACATAAGGGTTCAAAACAGGATTGATGTAGCCAACTGCATATATTTAGAATCTAGCTCTTAAATGATAATCACAATGAGTTGCTACCTTCAGCCAGCACACACTACCTGATCCGTACATTCAAAGAGGTATCAATGGTTAATTTTTTTAATTAAAAATAGAATCTATGTGTTTCCATAAGCAATTAGGAGATAGAGAGATAATAGAATGCAAAATACAGGGACTAAAAGTACACATTCTGCACAAGAAAAATAAAGAACGTTCTTTTTAACTGAAGATCCTTTGGCAACCTTGATATCATATCTTGTCATACCACATGGAATATTATCCAGTAGATACAATCCCACTCATGCCCAAATAAATTTTCCTTTACAATTTAACAATGCAATAATTCACTAGCAATAGCTTACTTAAAAAATACATGAGCAAATAATGTTTTCCTGGGAACCACTTACATTTTTCTTTGGAGTTTTGGTGTCTTGCTCCTCCTCACTTTCCTCCTCAGATGACTCCTCTTCAGAACTGCTACTCTCCTTTGATACCTTGGTAGACTGCTAAGCAACAAGGTTTAATCAGTGGAAAATTTTTCAAAAGTTAAAATGAAAGCGAGTTAAAAGAACAAGTAGTTAAGTGAGTATTCCAACATATTGTCCATTGGTTAGCTTAAACATGTTCTTTTTTTAGGCTTTCCAATATTTGCAGAAACAGAAGGCTGCTCCATACAAGTCATAATAGAAAATTAACTCCAAGAGAAGTAAAAAGAAACAAAAAAGAAAACCATAATGAGTAATGATCATAAATATATACCGGGGCTTTCAGCTTTTTCTTTTGAGGCTCTTCATCACTCTCGGAGCTTTCATCATCCTCACTCTCATCCTTCTTGGCATCAACCTTTGTGTCAAGTAAAAATATGGAAAATACCACTTTTCAGCATCAACATCCAGCAATAACCAAGAATTTGATATGTCAATACAGAAAATGCAACATGATGTACAAAACAATGAACAGATCACATTAGAATTCATCAAGAAAATAAATATCATGCCACAATAAAAGGCCAAAGCCATATTATTATCCTCAGCCACATGGGATGTTTATATAGTGATTATGAAGGAGTAATGCATGTAACAAAATCAAAGAGAGATCAAGTTGGAGAATTCAAAGAGGTGGGTCACCTGTTTGGTGCTTGCAAGTCTTTTTGTAGGGACAACCTTCTTGGATGGGGGAGCCTGGATCAAAATATCACAATCATGATTAAAAATCAAACACAATAAAACAGAAAAAACTAAATACAGCACAACCACAGATAATTTTATGGTTTATCCTCGAAAACAATTGGTGTACATTTTGATGATATACAGACAGTGATTACAAGCATACATTCATATCAACTTTGATTCAAAATATCATGATTGTTATATATCTGTACAAGTACATCAATTAACTTACAATGTCATACAAAACACTGACAAGTCCATGTTTAAAAAAATGACATTTCTTAACATTTTATTTTCACAGGTACACTAAGATAAAAAAATACAGAAATACATCTCAACATATCATGTGGTGCTTCAATATCTTTTACATTGTTTTCAACAAGTTTTATTTAGTATTATCCAAATAATTTCTTTTAATATACTTTTGAGCTTATCATTATTAGTGATTCTTTTCTTCATACTATAGGTTTCTACAAATTATTGTTCAGCTACATCAGTGATGCTTCCAGTTTTATACCTGAAAAACAGGATAAACAATAAAATAACATTAAGAAAATATCTCTATGTAAATAATAACTTTTATATTAAATAAAGAATAATAATGTAGTATTTTTTATAATTGTATGATGATGATGAGAAGAGAAAACAAAGGACTGCAGAGATGAATGATCAGAAAATAATGAGGCTCTGAGTAGCCAGATAGCATCTTCCGGCTCTTTTCTACCAGAGTATGATGTCTGTTCCATCACTAACAAGTTTGGGATATAAAATATAATTTTTAAGTACGACATTGATTGAAGTGCCAATTATCATAAAAAACATCAACTGAAGTGACACAAGCAACCCTATGCCATATGCCTATCCCATAACAAAATAATATTTACAACCTAAATATCAATAACAGGTACCATTGGACAATATTCATGTCACTTGTAGTATCTAATAATAAATTTAACCCTTAACTTTATTCTATGTTGAGAATGAAATTAACTTACAATAGTATATCATTTCAAAAGGATTATATCACTTTTTTGATAAACAGCGTCACATCAATTTATACTGATACAAATTTTTAAAGTATGTTCAATTATGTCAAAAATATTACTAGTTATACCCAAGGTTTAATATTTACACGTTTTATGAATCATTATATTATGGTGTTGCAGTAAACGAACATAAAATTCAAAAACTTCCAACAAATTTCTCATTTTCAAGGGGTTGATATTATCATCAGAACAATAACCACCATTATAGACTTTCTATATTGAAGGGATCTCCACTTACAACGAATAAAACTCCCCGTTATCAATAAGCAGGTATAAGACAACAAGACAAAAAGAAGCAACAGGACTTACAACAATGGAAAAATGATACTGTTTACTATGGTATGGCTTTACCTAGTTGGCTCTCCTATAACATTATTTTTACCTAGTATGGCTTTACCAACAAAAACATTATTTTTAACAGTCATCTTTTCAATCACCCATCTCCATCTATATAAAAAAGGAGAATAACTCCTTGTCCACCCCTACTAAAATGTTTGTATCAGTGCTGCATACCTAGTTGGATGCCTGGGTAACAATGCCTCCAAAGTGCCTTAAGGAGACACCTGGTCAATATCTAGGTAACACTTAAACTACACCATCATTAAAAAAAGAAGGGCCTCTTCCGATAAGAAATCTAACCAAATCACTGAACTGAGATAATACAGAATTAGTCATGTCCCAGCCCACATGGATCCATGTAAATGCTACTCAAAACAGACAAAATTCATGGCAGTGCAAAGTTATAATTGTAGCAATAATTTCTACATCCCAACACGGCCACAATGTTTTCAAGGGTGAAGGCTCACATCATCCTCATCAGATTCGCTTTCAGAACCATCACTTGATTCTTCTTTCTTTTTTGTTGGTGCAACCTTTACTCCAGTAGGAACAACAGGTTTGGCATTTTCCTGAACCAAGATAAGAGCATTACACAAAAGCAAATAATCCAACCGGAAAAAATTGTGGTACTTTTCACAGACACAAGCTTTATTCTCATCCTTGAGATAAACAACAATAAACACTACACTTACCTCATCTTCTGAAGATTCACTTTCTGACGAGTCTTCACTAGATTCTTCTTTTTTCTTGGATGCTGGCCCAGGGGCATTTTTTGCTGGTACTGGTTTCTTAGAACTAGCTGAAGCTTTTGCAGCAACCTTCTAGTATCATATGCCAGAAATATAGTCATCGAGTATACAGAATAAACTAATCAAATAAAATGCCAAAGTTAAGTGAAATACAGTGAACTTTTGCAGCAGGCATATTGGCTATCATCCATGATTAAGAAGTCAAAAGAAATAAAACTAAGCTGTCACTTGAAAAACAATGGATAATGACTGTACAAAACAATGAAACCAAAAGCAACAATAAATTGAAATGAAGCAAATTCCCCTAACAGCATGCACAATGACCATCACATGGAATAGAGATTTATGAACATTATTATTTTCTTTTGTAAAAGAATAAAACCAAGAACTCTTTTTTTACATTAAAAAATGTTAAAACTCAGCAAAACAAGAACATTTTTTGAAATGGTAACCCCAATACTCACATCATCCTCATCTGAGCTATCATCTGAATCTGAGCTGTCACTTGATTCCACCTTCTTGGGAACTGCAGTAGAGCCATTCTTTGCAGCAGGCAGTTTCTTTGCTGATGGTTTCTGTACATGATAATAAGTGATCAGTGATAAATTTCTTGACAATCATGCCATGAATTCCCCCATGAACACTGAAGTAGAGAAACATAAAACAACAAATAATCACTCACATCATCTTCATCTGAGCTATCATCTGAATCTGAGCTGTCACTTGATTCCACCTTCTTCTTGGGAACTGCAGCAGATCCATTCTTTGCAGCAGCAGCAGGCTGTTTCTTTGCTGATGGTTTCTGTAAATGATAATAAGTGATAAGTTGTATAAATTTCTTGACGATAATGTCATGAATTCCCCCCATGAACACTTAAGTAGAGCAACATAAATCAACAAATAATCACTCACAACATCTTCATCTGAGCTGCTATCTGAATCAGAATCATCACTTGATTCATCTTTCTTCTTGGGAACTGCAGCAGCAGCTGGCAGTTTCTTTGCTGCAGGCTTCTGCACATGATGATAAGTGATTGGTATTAAAATCTTTCAGATAATAATGTTATGTATCCCCCACGAACTGTGAAATAGAACATCACAAGTCAACAACTAATTACTCACATCATCTTCATCTGAGCTGCTGTCTGAATCAGAATCATCACTTGATTCATCTTTTTTCTTGGTAACTACAGCAGAACCATTCTTACTAGCAGCAACTGGCAGTTTTTTACCCTTGGTTTTAGGGTCCTGCGTACACAGGGTTATATATACTCAAAACAGATGTAAAACAAAAATGAATATATATTCTCTGATCAATAAACTATTCATGATCATAGGACAAAGCACTATAACTGAATACCCACTTCCTCATCACTATCATCAGAAGAAGATTCAGAACTGCTGGCTGGTTTTCCTTTCTTAGCAGGTTTTCCAACAGGGCCATTCTTAGCAACAGAGGGCGGCTGCTTTTTGGTAGGTACAGCAGCTTTCACAACAGGCTCCTGAAACATCAAAAGTTAAAAAAACACCGCAAACATTTATAGAACCAACAAAGTTGGTTAAATATCAAGCTCACCTCATCAGAAGAGGATTCTTCACTACTGGATTCTTTAGCAGCTGGCTTCACTGCTTCACTGCCCTTCTTTGGTAGTGCTACCTTAGCCTAAAATTACAAATTTATGAATAACGTAATCAATCACAGTCAACAAAAGCACAGATGACTTACATACCACATATCTAGTCAAAAAATATTTTAGGCATCAACTATTCAACTCTAATAAAACAGACCAAGTATCTAAGTCTGTAAGGCAACATGCAAAATACTAGATAGAAAGTACATACATAAAGATGATAAATGCGTTATTCGACACAATTATGGAACAAGATCTGGTTCGTGTGGGGGTAGGGGGAGAGTGAAAGAGAGAGAAAGGTGAGGCAACGCCAAGCTTTGGTGAAGTATCACATAGAAACTCTTTTATGAAGCTAAAGAGCAACCTGCGCTTAAAAATGCGTCTTTGTGCTATTTTATTGCCCCTGTTTTATCGGCCTTTATTCCTTAATTAAGCATGTCTGTGCTCTATTCTATTGTTCTACAGGTGGCAAAAGAACAAAACCTTCTCCGGTCCAAATACTACTTAATGAAGCATATAATGAATAACGGAAATGAAAACCAAGAAAACATAGGCAGCACAAACCAGACCTTTGGCTTCTCATCTTCGGACTCAGAAGAACTACGGGTTTCCTCTTTCTTCTTCTTTGTTTTAATCCCACTCTTCTGTTTCTGAAGCGCCTCTATCTTCTGCTTCTTAACACTCGCCTGATTCTCCAAAGATTCTTCTGCATCCCTCTTCCCTATAAACAAGAGCAACCGAACACCCACTTTAGGTTTAAACCAGAAAAACAATCAAATCCGAAGTGGTAAGCAGATAGGTTCTTCCAAACCTTTCTTCGCTGACTTTGATGGTGCAGCAACAACAGCTGCCGGAGCGACCTGCATGGAATCACAACATTAACAGTCACGAATTTGCGAAACAAAAGCAATGAAAACGAATGAAAAAGAGATATACGCACTTGAGTCGCAGACTTCTTGCTGGATTTGCCCATGGTGTAGAAAGGACGATGTGGACTGAAGGTTCAGATGAGAGAACTGCAAAAACCCTACAAACTTTTTTAGGGTTTTACGAATAGAGGAGAGTGAAGTGAACGCAGGTTACCATTTTATATACAGGGCGACGACGCGACGTTATTTTAGGGTTCGAAAAGCCACGAAATGTTTCAATTGTCTCGAGTCACTTGACGATGGCTCGGCGCACAGCGGTTCAATGTGGTTCAATCTAGGCCGACCCATTACTAATAATAACGTGGCTTACTCTTTAGATATTTATATTACTTTTTTTTTGTGGGCTAAATATTTATATCACTTGGGACACGTTCAATGCGAGACCGGATCTGCTCCTCACAAAGGGCGCCTCACACACACATCTTATCATGCATCGGGAACATCTCCCGTACTTATATGTTATTATTCACGGGAGATGTCCTAATGCTGGACTGATGTGCCTATGAGGCGCCCATGTGTGAGGAGCAGATCCCATTCCGTTCAATACAAGGCATGAATTGCGATCTAGTTCGAGGAGCTTCTCACCAAGATCAAATTAGCTCCCCCCTCCCCCTCAACGTCCCACAATACATCCTTGTCATGTATTGGGAACATCTCCCGATGATAATACCATAAATGATGATGTCATTATTGGGAGATGTTCCCAGTATGCAGCGAGATGTGCTATGGGACATTGTGGGGGGCAATCTTGTGGGGGGTTGACTTGAACTCCTTACCCTAACCTCATAGTCACATTTCACATGTATTGGAGATATTTTCACTCAAGAACCTATTCGGTTCGTTTATAGTTTTGCAAGGTAAGTGTATTTATTTAAGTAAATGTTTTTTCGGCAACATTTACCTAAGTAATTTTATTTATCCATGTTCTTTTGATTTCTAAATAATATAATTATCTTTTTATAAATGTCAGTAAAAGTAATTATCTTTTTATCAAATTTGTTTCATTATGTTTTATAATTCTTCCCTCATGTGCAAAAGTAACTTATACCCATATGGGAGATGGATTAGTTTTACTCAAGTAAGTGAAGCTCTCTTTATTATAGGGCCCAGTAGCTAATGCAAAAAATATGCTATAAAGTTTCTCCCCTTTATTTTATCAATAAACAAGCGGGGCCGAATAATGACATACAAGTATGGGAGATGTTATGAATGTGAGTCGACCACTCCTCACACCACCCCCGCAATGTCTTCCAATTGCACATCAGTAACATCTCCCATATTTTGTATTGTTATTCATAGCCTCATAGGGAGATGTTCCCAACACGGTGGGATAGGGCTATGAGATCGGTGTAAGGTGTGTTTTGTGAGGAGCAAATCCCGATTCATGGCTAGAACATGTTGTGAGGTCGATGTAAGGAACGCTCTAGGAGGAGCAAATCTAGTAAAGCCATCAAGACCAAGAGTTCAGATTTCAAAATTGGTCATTACACCCAAATTTGGATCCGCTACAAATAAATACACTCCTAGTATGTTATAAACTAGCCACTACATATGCATACTGGGACATCTCCATGAATAATAAGGGATGTTCTCAATGTATAACTACAATGGTATGTAGAGAAAGTGTTGGGAGCATTTCGTTGGTAGCATATCCCTAACCAAACCAAACCCACCTTACATCACTTGTAGTTGTGCATACCAAAAGGGATGTGAGACACTCTGGATCTAGTGTGTTTGAACTCAAAGGGATTTTCCCTTCAATTCCAACCACTTCACAACACGCCAAAAGTAAGAGAAGGGGAACTAGTTGGCAGTAGATTCCCTCTTCCTTAACTAAATATATATCTAGCAATGAAAAAAAAATAGTCAAAGAGATGGGTTAAACGAGAAAGAAGTGAGAACTCTTCTTTCTTTCACTCTGGCGATGTTTGTTGAAAGGTTTCTTCATTAGCAAATTCTTTTGCTACCCATGTTGTTGTGTCATGCCCCACCACATTTATAGTTGTTGTAGCTTGTACTTGTTGCTTATTGCATCTATATAGGATCTACATGTGTCACCTTCATTTATAAAAACTATGATAGTAATGAACAACAAACCATACCATGAACAATCATGAAATGAAGGAGCTCATACCCTGAGGTGGCATTAATAAGGCTGCAACTCGGGCCGGGTTGGGTCGGGTTGATGTTCGGGTCAGGATTATGGTTGAAATTCATGAACCCGACTTTACTTCGGGTTGGGTTAGGGTTGACCCCTTAGCCAATCCGACCCAACCCGAACCCCACTCTGTAGTACATGTCATATATAAATATATGTTATATGTAATATATAACATACATTGATTTGTTTAGATGCATAATATTTGTATAGCCCCCACCACATAATATCATGTATTTATTTTAAGATAATCACTTCACCTAATCCTAACCAGAAAGACTAAAACATTAATAACATTATTTTATGTTTTTTGAAAATTTTATTCTTCATTTCCTCTATGTTGTTTGCTGCCCAAGAAAGATCTATCGTAAGTCATAACTCATAATAAACTATAGTCATTTCTAATAGTTGTTTTTTTGAATTTTGTACCAAAAGAACAAGAAAATGTCAACAAACAAATACTAATGAAACATAGGACTAATATATATAGTGAAAGTTTAGTTAAGATCTAAAATGATAAATTCTATGAGGTTTTAAGGGATGAGAAGAAGGTTAGGTTGGGCCCAACCCAACTCGAAATTGGCTTCAAGTTGGATTGGGTTGGGTTAGGGTTGAAGGAATTTAGTTAGAGTTAGGGTTAGGGTTGGGTTGGTTGGGTTGAAGGTCATGTTGGGGTTAGGGTTAGGGTTAGGGTTAGGGTTAGGGTTAGGGTTAGGGTTGGGGTTTAGAACTTAGGGTTAGGCTAGGGTTGGCCTCAACCCGACCTAACCCGGGCTGACTTGCAACCTTAGGCATTAATGAGGCGGTCGATCCTAGGCAAGGGAAAGATGTATTTAGGGCAAACTTTATTTAGATTTGTGAAATCAATGCAAATATGGCATTTGCCATTAGCTTTAATTACCATAACTATGTTAGCCAACTAATTAGGATAATATACCTCTTTTTGATGAAATCAACTTTGAGAAATTTGTACCCCTCCTTATTCATTACTTTCCATCACTCTGATGCAAAGTTTATCTTCTTTTATTGAATTGGCTTACAACTGAGGTCCACACTTAACTTGTGAATAACAGCCAAGTGGCTAATTCCTAACATATCAGTAGCAAACCAAGCAAATACGTCAATGTTGGCTTTGAAGAGACTTATTGGTTTGGAGCATATGTCATTTGGGAGAAGGGACTCGATTTGTATGGTTTTTTCAGGATTGGCCTCGTTAGGGGTACAACGAAGAGGTCTTTCACAAATTGGCATCAACTATCTTCTATTCATTTATGAGGCCAAGACCTTTTACATGTAAGATTTCTCTTTGTTTTTCCCTTGAACCACTACATAACATTGGTGGGTGATGTGTTGATCACCACTAACTACTTCAATTTCGTGTTTGATAGGGAACTTCATCACATAGTGGTAGGAGGATACCACTGCCTTTATGGAATGCAAGGAAGGTTATCCAATGATGGCATTGTAAGTTGAGCCAACCTTTCCAACCAGAAACTCAATCATTAGAGTGTTTTGGTGGGTTTGGTTACTGCCATAATTGGGAGAACGATTTTACCCTCCGACTTGACCATTGCCCCGGAGAACCTAACTAGAGGCACATCGACAGGCTGGAGTTAATCTATGGTCAATTTCATTGTCTCGAAGGCATCGTAGAAGAGGATGCCATCTAAAGAGCCATTGTTAACAAGCATCCTTTTCATTTAATATTTGACAATCATGAAATATACTACTAACCCATCATCATGGGGGTGATGACCCCTACAGGTCCTCATCAGAGAAGGTGATGACCTCTTATAGTTTGAACTTCCTTTGTGGCTTGTGTTTGAGTTGTAGTTGTTGGGTGTAAGCCTTTTGGGCTAATGGTCTTTCTCTTATCCTATAGGTAAGGGTGTCAATGGACCAGTTTTGGATTAGACCCCATATAGTCCAAAATCAATTGGGACGGACCAACAAGACATATTGGATTGGACCAATCTGGTCCAAAATATTTATTAGATTGGATTGGACCTGGTTCGTCTGTAATAAAGTTATATTGGATTGGGTTGGATTAAGCCAACATATGGCGCATTGATATAAGATAAGAATATACGTGTCAATGGACCAAGTTTGGGTTGAAACCAATATAAATCAAAACGAATTTGAACATATTGAATGGTCCAGACATTGAATTGGACTGATCCAAAAGGGTCCAAAATATTCATTGGACCGGATTGGACCTGGTCCATTTATAATGGACTCACATTGGACCAAATCCAATCCAATTGACACCTCTACCTATAGAGCTGCTATATATGACATTGATGATCTTGACCAGGGGTCTGTTATCTAGGGGATTGGTTAGCTCCAAGGCCAATCTTATTTCTTGGTCTTTCTAGATGAAGTCTTTTAGGTGCCTTTTTTATGTTAAGGTTCTTATCTAATTTCATCTCTCGATATTTGTTCATATCATGGCCGACATTGTGGTGTTATTCATAGTACTTGTATTGGTTGCCTTTCTTGGCATTCTTCATCTTTAAGCATTATCGTGTCTACTCTTGCTTTCCGATCTATGTAAGGATATGGCTTTGGGAGGTGTTGAGTGTAGGAGTGTCAACAATATTTGAAAATTCGATTTCGAATTTGAGATTTGACATAATCGAATCAAATTCGGATGATTTGAATATCTAATCGATTGAATTTGGATATGACATGGTCCAATCCAATAAATATCCAAATTTGATTGACTATTTAATTTGTATATATAATATATAACATATTTAAATGTTTATATATATAATAATTAAATTATAAATGATTTATATATTTATATAAATAAAATATTTATTTTATATATTTATTAATTACCTATAATAATTAATTGGTCGAATTAAAATCGAATCGAATATTTGAATATTTAATTGAATTCAAATTCAAATATTAATTTTCAATATCTATCGAATATCAAATTGGATTCGGATATCGAATTCAAAATCAGATATTGCCTTATTC